GTTTCTCTATGATTTATATTTTTAGAGTCCAAAAAAAAAAGAAAAAAACACCCCCCATAAGTAGTTCTTGACTTCCCTATCCCTGACCTTATAGATAATTCACATTGATGTTCTCACACAGCCTTTTTGTGAAAAATTCAAAATTTAGTTATCAGCAGATGAACACATATTTTGACCTGCCTTATGGTGGTACTGTCAGCCAGCAGCTCAGTGGACAGTGCCAATAAATTTACTCCGTAAAATGCCTGTGCAAGCACTTGAGTGATTTATGTACTTTGTTTTTCTCATCTTATAAAATAAGTAGGTATCAGAAAAATTAGTGTTATTACTTGTCATAAGTAATCCTGTTCTCATACTACTCTTAACAAGAGGTAACATCATGTGTCCAGCACTGACACTTTGCACATTTACCTCATTTAATTCTAGCAAAAACCTTACGAGATAGATACTTGTATTATTTCTGTATCACATATGGGAGAACTAAACCTTAAAGCCATTAAATAATTTTCCAAGGATCACATAGCTACTTCCTGGTGATAAGATTAACAGTGAGATACACTAGACAGATTGACAGCAGCAACGTTTCAGTTTCAGCTGCAGGTTCATTTTCACATATATAGAATTATGTATGTGTGTGTGTGTGTGTGTGTGTATGTGTATACTATACCAGTGTTTACATCTGGAAGTATATTATTAAAGGCATGTGCAAAAGGCAATATATAACCGAGAGTGACATATGTTTTAGGTCCCCAGAACTGTCTTGTAACATGTAAAAAAGTTTTTCAGTTTTTGCATGTGCAAAATGCAGATACTTTCAGGAATTAATTTTGTGGAGGAATGCATGTATATTGGATAAAATCTCGTACTATCCTTGATTCTAATTCCAGGCCCCAGGGCTCTCTCCATGCTAGTGTGTATACATCACAGCCCTTTAGCATTCCGCAACAAACAAAAACCACACAACAATACATTGAAGCATACAAGCTATTATATATTTTCATAATATAGAACTTAAAAGTATAATAATCAATAGTGGCAAAATATTTGTCTCTGACATTATTATTTGTAAGATCCAACCTGTAACTGAGATCAGAGAAAACAGTATGGAAAAACAAATCCATGAGAACAGGATAAAAATATGAACAGCAAAATATGTCTGAGTATTTAAAACTGTATAGAAAAAATAAATTAGATGAACAATTGTGTAAATATAAATTAAAAAAGATGACATTCTTAATAAATAAAGTTTACTATTTACATTTTTATGTATTGCCAAAAGAGTTAACTTAGATCCATAAAAACACATAAACAGAAAAAAAAAAAAATAGGAGCAGCAAATTTATGCACGTGAGGTACAGAGAAAGGATTGGACTTGTGTTTAGTTTTTGGTGTTTAGATTGTGTTGTGTCTTTTTTCTTTTTACAATAGGCCAGTAGAATTCTTATGAGAACAGCTTTTAAGCACTTCAATGGAGTGTCATTTTTTTGGTAGCTTCCAGAAGATGCCAAACGGATTTCAACATCATATTAATTAGAAATACCCATAATAATTATAACAATAATAAAAAGGTATTATATGATACATAAATATGGAAGAGCCTTTTGTAATATGAATACATTTTCTCTAGACGAGATCACAGTTTTATTTTGTAAATATTACATTTAAGTATATATATACACACATATATGTACAACTATATATACATGTGCATATATATGTAAATTTATATTTATATATAATATCATTATATAGATAGATATCTGCGGACAGGTTATTGATTATAGAGACCCAAGAAAGCAACTCAATAATTATTCAGAATTTTCCTCATTGACTGCTGGTGTGTAGTTTAAGGAGCCCCTATTTATTTGCACTCAGAATGCCATATCTTCTTTTAATGGAACACTTGATGTGGAATTTTAAGTCTGAGAAGTGAGGTGCCCTCTGAAGAAGAGATTTTAGAGACTCCCTTCCTCTATAAGTTGAAAATGACCGGAAGTCTTAAATAGACAACGGTTAGCTAATTGACATTATAGGAAGTAATCAGCTTTTAACCAAATCATAGAATTGGTAAAGGGTAAGATCAAATTTGCCTAAAAGATAAAATATTCTCCAGTACACATCTCTCTTTTAAGGCAGACTATAATTCAGGAGCTCCAGCTTTATTCCTTGAAATATCAAACAAGCATTCGTTATCCTTCTGAAAAGGCCAATGGGCCTGTGCATTCGTGAATCATAACCCAGGACTTTGTGTCAAGCGTTGGCCCTCACAGCCCACCTAAAACCGCAGGGCCTCAGAATCTCCTGCCCTCCCACTGTGAGGTAGGTATATATTATTATCCCCATTTTGCAGCTAGAGAAACTGATGCAAGTATAGAGGTGACTGAATAACTTGTTCAAGATCACTGAGCAAACTGCTGCCTGGAGTCAGAAATTCTGAGTTCTTTACAATAGGGACATAATTTCTCTTTTGGCTATTATACATTTCTTTTAAAAAGCAAGTGATTGGTAGGGATTTGGCAAAAGTTGAATAAATTACAAGAACAGGCTTTTATTCATTTGCTATTTGGTTTTTATGTTTGTTGTTTACTTGGTTTGTTTTGTTTCTCCAGACTCACTGGGATTACCTGTCTCGTCATGTAGCAGCTTTTTAAAAAATTAGACTGTGCAGTGTGGTTCTGAGTGCAGTCTTTATAAAGCCCAGTGTCGTACTGGTAAATATAAACATTTTATAATGTGAAAAGCACAATGATACAATATGTCCCCTTAATATCTGGAAAAACCAATATCAAGCCCTCCCCCTCCCTACTACCATTGATTGCCACCAAACAAATAAACAAAATGCCCACCCACCACCCAACAACAATAACACATCAAGGGGGAAAACGTCATATTTCCTGGACCTACCACAATGTACAGAAAATAACAGACAGTGTTATCAAATCCCACTCTATGTCTTCTAGGGAAATGCTTATGTTTGTGTCTACCTACTGAGTCTGTAGAATAAACAATTTCCTTTAGGAAACATAAAAATAGGTTCTTTATTCTGAGTTTTTAATCATGCATTTTTATTTCCTTTTAATCTCCTTGTGTTCTATTAATCTCTATCTGTACAGTTTTGTCACCATTTCTTTATTTTCTCACTTGAAGTAGTTCCAGAAAAAAATCACAAAACCTCAAAACTGTTAACTTAACCTTATAATTTCCTTCCTTCCTTTCTTTTATTTTACCCTTTCCTTCTTTCTTTCTTTTCTTTCTTTTTCCCTTTCTTCCTTCCTTCCATCCTTCCTTCTTTTTTCTTTTCTTTTCTTTCTTTCTTCACACAGGTAAGACCTATAACAAATTGACAGTTACAACCAAGTTAAATCAAACCTGGAAGGGAGGTAGCTGAAATCTGTCTGAAAGAATTAGCTTCAACAAATAGCATTTAAGCATTGGCCAAGGTGGGAATAAGACCAAGAGAACCGTCTAGACCAGGCATCCCCAAACTACGGCCCCCGCCGCACTTCAGGAAGGGGCACCTCTTTCATTGGTGGTCAGTGAGAGGAGCACAGTATGTGGCGGCCCTCCAACGGTCTGAGGGACAGTGAACTGGCCCCCTGTGTAAAAAGTTTGGGGACGCCTGGTCTAGGCAGTGACTCAATGTGCTGAAGCCAGGAGTGGCAGCTGATACCTACATTTTCAAAGCTCTACCATCTATGACTGTTAATCTTTCCCTTCCTTAACACCCCAATTCACTATCAAAACTGATTTCCCAAGGACTGTATTCCCTTAAAAGGTTGTTGGCACAGAATCTGGGGGTAATGCAAATCCTCTGGGTAGGCAGTTAGGATTGTGGCTTGGAAAATCTTCCCTAAATATAGCTTAGAGAACTATCCACCTTTTCTTTTTTGCTGCTAACAGTCTAATACTTCAGATGCAGAACCTTCAGTGTTTTAGGGCCTTTGAGCTGCTGATACACAATAGTGCTTCAGAGCTGCCTCTCAGTGCTCCAGTCACCTAAACAGAAGATGACTGAGGAATGAAATGACAAGTGAATTCCCAGGAAGAAAATGAAACTGGGAAGAAATACATTGCTTAAACTGAGCTGACCTTCCTCCACTAAGGTTTGAAAAGGCCCTATTAAAGATAGCTTCCACGTGGGCACAAGTTGGCCACCAATCAAGTAGCCTCTTTTGCCTAATATCCTTGGCAAATATAAATTTGTTAGCAACAGGCTTGAATGATAGTAGAGACTTAGTGGATCTTGATTCAGAAGAGCTGAATTCACTCGTGAGTCTAAAGATATAAGCCAGCCTCCAGGAATCTTTGCTGAGCTGGATAGTATGGGAATAGATGATGATGGGAATGAAGACAGAAAGAGGATAAGTACTGATTTGAGGGAAGCTGGTAAGGTTATTTTGTGGCTGCTGAAATCACATCATTAGTAACATCATCTTTGGGTCTTCAAAGCTTTTTGTATTATCTATGGGTATAATTAAGCAACTGGGAGGGTTGATACTGTTACCTTTCTTAGCTTGTACCTTCTAAGTTAACACCACACAGGCTGATAACTCAGCTAGGGCAAGAGAGAGGCCTGGAAAGCTGGCAAGAGTGCAAAGATACTGGAGAGGGGTCCAAAACAGGATCGATTCTTCTAAAATTATTCTTATTTTTTGCTAATAATTGGCCCTTATAATGACAGTGAAATAATGCTCTGGATATAAATGAGATATGGTTTTGTTAAAAAGGAAACACAGAAGATTATTCTTTCCTGTGGCAGTCTTGCCAATATGGAACCCAATTTCAGAGTTTGTGATATGGTACAAGTCTCATAAACTACGTAAGCACTGCATCCTTATTTGTGGGCACCTGTGCCAAAAGCACCTTAATATGCTTCTTAATGTGATAGGCCAGAGATGGCCAACAGATGTCTCCTCGAGTGTTTTTGATCTCCGGGTAAGTGCTATTGGGAGTGACATAAAGTGGTTCCTAAAGTTATTTTTGGTCCCAACTTTTTAAAAAAGGGCTATGATGGAATAACAACACCTGCCTTGGATGCAGGAATTAGAAGGGGCTGCACACATGTGTGGTATTTTCTATCTTTTTGTTGGTTGTCTTCACTAGATTTGAGATGACTTGATTTACAGTCATCCTTGTGTGATATAACTAGTCTAGACCTTCCCTTCTCCTCCATTCCTAGCCTCAGGTTTCAGAAAGTATGTCACACTCAACCCTTCTCTCCACTTCGTCCTGTATTAATTTCTTCCCATATTAATTCAAAGGGAGTGGACAGGGACCTGACTGAAAAGAAGCAAAGAGACCCCCAAAGAGATGGGGGGCTTCCACGTGCAATTGACTAATTTTCACTTAACTTTTGGAGGCTAGACATGGGAGAGAGAAAAGCATTGACCTGTCACAGGTACGGAAGGGGAGTACTGTCACAGGTACGGAGGCATTGTCCTGTCACAGGTACGGAAGGGAGCTGGAAAAACCATATAGAAAACATGATGACCATGTTGAGTTGCTGGGGCTGAGGCTGTGAACTCTTTAGCTTCCTTCCGATGGCCCTCTCAAGAACAGTCTATACTGATCTTATACAAGATGGTTCTCTCTTCCAGAATTGTATCTCCTGAGAGCAACAGTGAGGTTCTCAGGATCAAAGCCTGAAGGGCTAGGAAGATTAGGATAAGGATAATAATCCAAGAGCCTCGATGATTTCAACAGTCTCTGGATGGCTCCAACATCATAGAAACTTAACACCGTTCCACTTGTTTATAAAATCGAATGCTGGCTTAGACATTCTGGGCTTTCAGTGAGGGTTCCAGCATCTGATGTTCCTCAACTCCTTTCCAGGTGAGAGGCCCACTTACGGGAAACTTAACTTCTCACTATGTGGACCCATGAGGGATTTTCTCTTGCAGAAGGGCTAAAACGTGAGTAGCTGTGGAAAAATGTGGGTCACTTTTAAGGCAGACTGTTTGGTTGTGTGGAGTTCTTCCTAACCTAGTTCTACCATCTTGGATTATTCAATGTATAGGATAGAGCAGCAGGAAAAGTAGCAGCAAATGTGGTACCAAGGCAGGATTTGGGGAACAAGTAAGTCCTAAAGGGATATTATGACCTCAAGCCTCAAGCAAGGGGCTGATGTAATACCTTGACGTTTCAATCCTAAGCCATTCTCAGATTGGCCTCAAACCCTGGAGTTGGGGTAAAATCCCTCATGGTAGCAGAATTATGTGGAGGCTTTGCATACCTTATCATCTTTACCTCTTCCTAGGTTCTAGTTCCCTAGAAGGTAGGTGATCACAGACCATTTCACGTCCAGTCCCAGAGGACTGCACAACTGTGCATGCCTGCTATATTCTGAGCCTCAGGGTGTGAACTATCTTGACATCTCCACACTTGGTTAGCAGTTTCTGCAACTTTCTTTCTCCCAAGGATAGTGTTGGCTAGGAGCTTGGGAAAGAAAAGATTGAATTTATTCCAGTCTCTCTCTGCTCATCTCCAGAACTGCCCTCACACAGATGTTTGTATGGGTGTGTATGCATGCATGTGTACTAACCACAGATGGGTACACTCTTGATATAGAACATGTTTCTTGCTGTGGTTGTGTGACAAATGACTAGAATTTTAGGAGGCTCTGGGACTGCATACTGTATATGCAATCCATCTCAGACTTTGGGATGGGAATCCATTTCATCATTCAGCATGGTGAAACTTGGTTCATTTGCCCCACTGTGAGTCCTTCCTGGGTAAAATTAAAGGCAGACCGGTTGGGCGCTAAGGATCCCTGGTGTGGAGAGGCCATTCCGTTGAGCAGCTGACTGTGAAATCAATACCAAAGGGATGTGGGTCCTGGCGTTGGGAATTCTTGGACAACTCCTTGTCCTTCCTTAGCCATGGCTGTATTCCCGGAGGTCTTTCTGGCTGTGTTCTTGGGCATGGGGGTCCCGACAAGCACAGTCACCTTGTAGGTCACAGGACATAGGGAATGGGGTGACCTGCAGAAAGAGAGAAGAAGTGAATCGGGGGTTTGGTCTGAAGCAGTCATGATCAGAAAGGCAGTGCAGAGCAGGATGCAACCACTGGATCCGAGGAGCAGAAGGTTCAAGTTCAAGTCATGGCTCTGCTTCTTGCTATCCTGGTGATAACTTTTATTGAGAGCACCAAGATCATAATCACAGCAGTTTTTATTTGCAGAGGCACTTTCTATGGGTCAAACATTTCTGTGGGTTAAGGCACTGTACTCAGTGCTTTCCAAACAAGAAAACACTTTTTTTTTTTTTTTTTTTTTTTTTTTTTTTTTGAGGCAGAGTTTCGCTGGTTACCCAGGCTGGAGTGCAACGGCGCGGTCTCGGCTCACCGCAACCTCCGCCTCCCGGGTTCAGGCAATTCTCCTGCCTCAGCCTCCTGAGTAGCTGGGATCACAGGCACGCGCCACCATGCCCAGCTAATTTTTTGTATTTTTAGTAGAGACGGGGTTTCACCTTGTTGACCAGGATGGTCTCGATCTCTTGACCTCGTGATCCATCCGCCTCGGCCTCCCAAAGTGCTGGGATTACAGGCTTGAGCCACCGCGCCTGGCCAAAAAAACACTTCTAACAACTCTGTAAGATAGATGCTACAACAATCACCCTTTTATTGATAAGGAAACTGAAGCTCAGAAAGGAATAAGAATTTGCCAAAAGTAACAATAAGTGTCAAATCTGGTATTTAAAGTAAGACAAGCTACTTATCTCTGAGCCTCAGGTCCCTATGTACAGCTGATATAATAAGACCCACTTTAACTGTAAAGTATAAGGCCTAAGTAAAATCATGAGTGGAAAACTGTAGTGTGCTATAGCAAAGTGGATTAGTATAATTGTGTAATGAAATACCTGATGTATAAGTGATCAAGTGAAAGACAGGATGTGAAAGTGTCTTTTGAGAAAACACAACTCCTGCACACACTGGTTACTTTGGTTTTAGCAGGCAATGATGAAAACAAAAAGCATGTCTTAGGGAAGCTAGACCACCTTCTTGGAGGCTTGGAATCCTGGGTAGGTAATAGATCACATGGAGATTTTGCACAAAATTTGAAGGACCTGGGAAGCAGATTTCAGCATACAAAAAAGTGAGAGGACTGAGTTCATTCCAGTTCCCAGATCATTTCTTCATGTGTTCTGTGACCTTGGCCAGCTTTCCTTTCCGCAAACTGATAGGAAGAGCCCAACAGAGTGAGTGTCTTCCCCATCCAGCAGCTAATCTATCTTTCCAAAGAACACAGCGCAGTCCCTGCTTGAATCCCCGCCTGAACTACGCAAGTAGATTTCACCTCATTGCATCATGACATTTGCATATAACTTTCCCCAGAGAGTCTCCCATCTGTGCAGATGGATTTAATGACCTCATTTGCCTCCCGCCTGGACAGGGTCTCCAAGTGGTCATGTAGTCTCAGAGAATCTTTGTTTCTATTCCTCTCTCTCATGTACTTGTGAGCTCATTCTCAATGTCTAGCTCTTCTTTTTTCTCTCTTTGACTCTCTCCCTCCCTCCCAACCTCTCTCCATCCTGAAATTTTGCAATAATTTAAAATGTAGAATGGAATATCAGAAAGATTTAAGTATAAGCCCCAACTCTCTCATCTACTTGAGATGTGACCTTGAACATGTGACAATTTCTCTGTGCCTCAATGAACTCATTCATTAAATGAGAAAAATTAAAATGTAGACCTCCTAAGGTTGTGATAAGGAATACATAAAGTAACGTACGAAAAATACCTCACACAGTGCTTGACATACGCTAAGTGCTCAATTATTCTCTCTCTCTGCCCCCACCCTCCTTTATTTTTTTGGTCTATTCTCCCACCAATTCTGTGGCCCATGAGGCAGGGACCAGGTTAATCTTGTTTATTACTGTTTTCACAGGGCCTAAGCCACAGAATGAAAACATTTCTATTCATTTCTCCATCTCTCACTGACTCTATGTACTTACGGGTACCACGAGTCATTGTTTATCTTTTCAATTTAAATTCATAAATGCTTGATGCTGTGGTAAGCATCAAGTCCCTTTTTCCAGCAGTACCTCTCTTCACAGTCCCTTTTTCCAGCAGTACCTCTCTTCACAGTCCCTTTTTCCAGCAGTACCTCTATTCACAGTCCCTTTTTCCAGCAGTACCTCTCTTCACAGTCCCTTTTTCCAATCAGTACCTCCCTTCACAGTCCCTTTTTCCAATCAGTACCTCCCTTCACAGTCCCTTTTTCCAAGCAGTACCTCCCTTCACAGTCCCTTTTTCCAAGCAGTACCTCTCTTCACAGTCCCTTTTTCCAAGCAGTACCTCTCTTCACAGTCCCTTTTTCCAAGCAGTACCTCTCTTCACAGTCCCTTTTTCCAGCAGTACCTCTCATAGGATTCAAAAAATCCTATGTCTTGGAATGAAATCTAAACTCCTTACCACAAGTTCAAGGCCTTGCATGTTCTGATTTCTATGTAATTCTCAGATCTTCCATGGTTCCGCCTTCTTCCCCTTACTCTCAGTGGCTTATTTATTGGTTCCTCATACACTCTGTTTTCCTACTTTTGTGTCTTTAGCCACTAACGTTCCTCCACTCTGACTGGTCTTCCCAGGCCAGCTCTTTTTCATTATCCAGGTCTTTTCTCAAGCATCACTACCTCCCTCAGTAGTGTGACCAAAGATATTAGAGTGGTGCAAAAATAACAAGATTTTTGCCATTGAAAGTAATAGCAAAAACGGTAATTACTTTTGCACCAACCTAATGGCACCATTGCCTTCATACTATATCACAACATCTTATTTTTATACCCTTCTTATACTGAATCACTTCTTCACTTTGATGTCAGCTCACTCTGGGCAGGGACCATGACTGCTGTTGAACTGATTCTTTATATACCACAAAATAGGCATTCAATGACCTGTGAATGAGTGAACAAATGAATGCATGAATATGCAGGCAGAATACAAGTCAGGGAGCCTCCACTCTTGCAGTCACTTGCTGGGTGACTTTAGACAAGTTACTTCCCTTCTCTGAGCTTCAGCTTCCCTACTTATAATAAGAGTTGATCTTCACAGCTTCCAACCTCCCATCTGGCTGAAAAATCTTTCTCAGACTGAAAAAGGTAAAAGGCAAAGACCTGGCCAGAAAGGAGCTTGAAACATAGACTTTCTTCACAAACCCTGTCTTGAATGCTACCCTTTCTGCCCTCCCCAGTTCCATCAGCTTCTCTAAAAGTGTTGGCTGGCAAGGCCTTGCCACCAGTTAGTCAGTTAGCTTCTCAGGCTGGCCTCGGCACTCTGCCTATGCTGGGGTGGTACCACCTTTTTCTTCCCTCCCCAGGCCAGTCCAGGCAGTTTCAGCACTTCCCAAGTAAACACCGAAGGAAACTCAATCAGAATATGACAAAGCCTAGAAGGATTGGTCTCAGGAGGTCCACCCAGAGCCTCCTTGCCTCCACTACATGCTTGTATATAGTAGGTTAGAGACTTTACATAGAAACTCTATGACTTTCAGCAAGTCCGTGGCACCGTATGGACTTCAGTCTCCCCATCAGTAAGACAAGAGTCTTTATCAAGACCTTACAGGGCTCTGGTGAGGAGTCAATGAAGTCATGTCACATCCAGACCAGCTCTCAGAGTGCCCAATGCAGAGGAGATATTGGTGTTTCCTTCCCTCCTCTTGCCTCTTTGCAAACTGCCCGTTCAAAGCCTCCTCTGTTACAAGCTTCCTCAGTAATCACAGATATAAAGCTGAGAAGAAAAGGGTGGAGATTTCCAGGTATTCCTAGGTCTAACCTGGAAAGGACTTGGGGACGCCTGTTCATGCAGGTTCAAGCGGTGAATACCATTGTACACACACTAGTGACTCCAAAAGACTTTCCCATGCCAGACGATTTCTATATGCTAGCTCTCTGACTCTGTACCACCTTGTGAGACTATCATTATTAGCCAACCATCTCACAGATGAGAAAATAGAGGCTTCAGAATGTCTAAAGCAAAACTAACCTGTCCCAGGCATCAGTACCAGTCAGTTAGTTGATGATGCAGGATTCCAAACCCCACTTCAAACACCTGAGATCTTTTCAGCAAGTGAGAGTAAAAAGAAGGAATTTTCTTCACAACCTGAAAAGGCTGCCTGCTGCTTTCTCTTTTTAATCACCAATAACCTTTTATCCTTATTATATGCCTGGCACTGAGCTAAACTCAGTGTGCATTATTATCTCACTCACTCTTCCCAGCAATGCTGAGAAGGTAACTATTCTTACTTTCCCCATTTTACATCTTAAAGGAAACTACAATTCAAAGAAGTGAGTCACTGGGCTAGTAGGTGGCCTGGCACTCCTCGGTACCATGCCTCAGGAGGAGGGCAGAACGGGAGTCAGGATCCTTTCTTCACAGACAAAGAAACTGAGGCATGGAGAGAAGAATCACATCTTGATAAAATCAGACCTCTGAGCCCAACTGCCAGATTCCCTGACTCCCTAAGCAGCTCCCCCACCTTCTCCCCCAGGCGGCCTCCCAAAAAAACCTACCACCCACACCGTGAACACCATGGTGGCCAGTTTACATTTGGGGATTCTCAGCACCATGTGGCTAGGCTGTCCCACAATTGGCTTGGCCACCCACTCTGGGATTCTGTTAGCAAGCCAGGTCCATGTGGAAGGGCCAGGATTCTCTCCTTTTTTCACTCAGGGCTAGAGACGGTGCTCAGGCACAATGGTTCTCCCTCTGGGTGAGCTGCCGAGGCTAACACCTCTGTCTGTGAATGTGAATGGCTCAGGAATGCAGCTCAGGCAACTGTCCCGCATGTGGATAAATGGAGGACAAAGTGGAAAAAAATAGAGTAAACTGGAGGGAAGCACTGGCCTAGATGAGAAAAACCCATGTCGCTCTGTCGCTGACTTTGGTGTATGCTATCAGGCAAGTTACTTTTTTTTTCTGGGCTTCAGTTTCTCTGTCTGTAAAAAGGGGGTACTAACAGTCCTACCACACAGAAGGATGTTGGGTAAAGTATGGAATGCAAGTAAATGACTTAACATAATGCATGGCATAAAATATGGGCTAAATAAATGATGATGATGGTGGTGATGGTGGTGATGGTTTTGACAGTGAAGTAATGATGGTGTTGGTAATAATGTTGATAATAATGATGGTAAGTTTTGGGGATAGAAGGGCTGGATTCCATCACAGAACCAAGCTAAAATGAGTGTCTACTTCATCCATAAGAAAAAAGACAGGGCTACATTCCAAAGTGGGGGAGGGCGGTAATAATAACATTCCAGTATCCAGTAATTTTTGAACATGGAAGAGTTATTCTAGTCTGCTTAGCCATCTGTTTGTTGTCTCTTACTAATTCTCCAAGTTAAGCACATCTGCTCCTCCCAAAAGGCCTTCTGGGATTCCCTAGACTGGCTCAGTGCTTCAAATCCTTCTGAATACCCTCATTGGCCTCTGGATAAAGTTCAAGTTTCCCTGGCTTGGGTGATAAAAGCCTTGCTTATTCATCTATGCTCATCTTTTATCCCTTTTTCCCTTTGCACCATGCTGTGGCCATATTCAGGGAATTATAATTTCCTTAACACTTTCCCTAATGTCTGGGCCTTTGCACAGACTGTTCCTTTGGCCAGAGATACCCTTTTCCTTCCCACTCCTATCTCTGGTCCTCCCTTACTGCTTTCCTCTGGGTATTATCTTCTGGACCTTTCATGTGTTGCCTTTGGTGTTGCCATCTCTAGGAAACTTTGCTGACCTCCTTACTTGCTGTGTCTCCGTGAGTGCTTGCTGTACTCTAAATGTCTGACTACTTATCCATAAGCCATGAATTCAGTGCAGCTGGGATCAGGTTCTTGCTCACTGCCTAGAACAGTTTCTACCACACAGCAAGTAGTACCCTAAATTCACTCATTCAAAAAATATTTATTTGTGGGTGTTGAGTACCTACTATTGGACAGGAAACAGTGAAGTATACTGGAAATTGGACTCTATCAATAAACAAACGAGAAGCACATTCTTATCCTCTTGAATGCTGTATTCTAGCATCAAGAGGGGTGGGGTCATCTGATCACAACTAATAAATATATTTTATGGTGTGTGCCAGGGTGATAAGTATTAGGGAAGTAAGGAAAAAAAAAAAAACAGAAGGCAAAGCAAATGAGTGTGGGAATGCCAGGGGTGAGGTGGGATGAGTGATCGGGGCTGGACTCACTGAGAACATGACATTTGAGAAAAGACTTGAAAGAGGTGAAAGAGTGAGTCATGAAGATGAATAGAAGAGGGTCCTCAGCCAAAGAAATTGCCAATGGCACAGTGACAGACTGTAAAATAGAAGGATGCCTGAGCTGAGCCAAGGACAGCAAGGAGTCCAGAGAGCGAGAGGTGAATAAGGCAAGGCAGAGACAGTGGGAAAGGAGCAAAGTCAGAGAAGCAATGTGGGTGAGTGGGCAAAGCACCCACATTTTCCCAAGGCCTTTGTAGGCCATTGGGAATACTTTGGTTTTCAATCCAAGTAAAATGGGAAGGAACTGCATGTCTTTGCATAGAGGTGTGATACGATATGACTTGATTTTAAAATGCTATTCTGGCTTCTGGGTCAAGAAGAGACATTGATGTACATTCCCAAGTCAGCTATCCAATACCCAGCGCTTCGTTGATATAGGTTATCACCTACTCTGCTAAGAAGGCTGCTTTCCATATGGTGATACTGATTATTTTTCCATATCTCATAGAATCAGTAGCCTTCTTAGACTAATGTGATACATGTTTGGTATAATGTCCTTTCTTAGGAAAACACGTTCTCATTTAGGTAGGGTTTAAGATTTAGCAAATCTGTCATTTAGCAAATATGGTAGCCCTACACACAGTTGCATGAACTGGATGCACCATCCTGTGCTGAGATATGTTTCTGGGATTAACCTCTTCTTATTCTCTGCAGGTCTCAGTCTTAACTAGCCTTCAACTTCCTGCTCAATGACCACCTCATCCAAGAAGCCATGTGAAGAGTCCTTAGGCACATTTTTAGAAAGCCTTGGTATGTTGAGTTCTTAGACAGGAATCTAATTCAAATATCAAGACATAAAAACCCAAGGCGGGTCTGGCCTACCCAAGGTCACAGAGCTAAGTCACAAAACCAGGACTATACCCCAACTCCCCAGACATCTATGAGAATCAGTCTTTCCGCAGCCGTCTGAAACATGACCACAACTAGTGTTCCAGGCCACCACACCTTAGAAAGCTTTGGTATGTTGAATATTTTAAGGTCGTTTCCCTTTTCTTCCTCACACCCCAACACATGCTTACTTAGAATGCTTCCAATTATAAACTGATTTTTTTTCTTTTTTTGTCATGAAGGGAAACCCTTGGAGCAACCATTCTGGAAATCTGCTTTGTATTTGAGGCTCCTCAAGGTTCCAACAGGAAAATAATAAACTGACATCCTCAGAGGCTGAGTCCTGCCCCTTCCTGTCTGTCTCACACTGCGGGCAGGTGTCTGGGTGGGAAACTGGACACCCTTGTCAGACAGAGCTTCCTGCACTGTCTTGCTCTCGTCTGCCAGCCAGGCCCAGGTCACTCCATAAGGCGGATGTGGGGAACAGCTGGTGTCTATACAGACAAATAAGGGAGGGAGAAGGGAGGGAGCAGACAGGCATCAGGCTGGGCCAAGGCATCACGGAGGCCCTAGCCCTGGGAACGGGGAAGAAATTTAGGTGGAAACTGGCAAGAAGGAAGACTGGTAGAAGATGCTGAGTGCTTAACACTGGGCCTGGAGTTCATGGCAAGAACTCCATTCCAGGAGGTCGATGAAGCAAGAAGATCACCTGTGAGGACCAAGACCCAAGACGCAAGAAGCTTGGGCAAGACGCGAGCCCACTGCAAAATGATGTTCCAAGGGGTCGGAGGCAGGTTCTGTGTGGCTTAAATTCTCTAGGTTTGCATCTTAGCTGTACCACTTGCTAGCTGTGTGAACTTAACCCTTCTAAGCCCCAGTTTCATCATCTACAGAATCAGGATTAAAAAGCTAACACCTAGGGCCAGGCATGGTGGCTCACATCTGTAACCCCAGCATTTTGGGATGCTGAGGGTGGAGGATCAACTGAGACCAGGAGTTCAAGACCAGTCTGGGAAATATAGGGAGACCCCTCTCTCTATGAAAAATACAAAAATTAGCATGGTGCGATGGTGTGTGCCTGTAGTCCCGGCTATTTGGAAGGCTGAGGTAGAAAGATCATTTGAACTTATTAAGAGGTGGAGGCTGAATTGAGCCACTCCAGACTGGGTGACAAAGTGAGGCTTCATCTCAAAAAAAAAAAAAACCTACAACAGGATTATTGTGGTGATGCATGAAATGACATGTCAAGCAATAACTCTTAGCTATTACAATTTGTTCTGAGTTAGGAAATCCTAAATCCCAAATACGGCTCTGTCACCTTGTACAAATGATTCGACTTCCCACAACCTCAACATTCTACTTGGCTGAATTATTCTGGAGTTTGAGATAACATTCACAGAGACACTAGCCACAGCCCAGCAAATAGTAAGTGCTCAGTTAACTGAATTCCTGTAAATTAAGAAGGTGCTTGAAGCATATCTATCTGCCCCAGGGGTGAGTGTCTCTGAGTGCTAGCCTGGGTGCATAAGGGAAGGGACGGTCTCACGATATGGGACTGGGGCTAAGGGGACAAGTGGTAAATAAACAGGTCCAGCAGGTAAGGGCAGAGGCATGAGAGGAAAGTAGCCTCTCTCCTCTGAGAGGCTTCCTGCAGTGGAAGCTGGAAACAAACCAGAACTTTCTTCTGCCCTGTGGATGCCCAGGGGAAACTCCTGTCAGGACTGCTGGGGATGTCAGGGATCATGGGCAAGGCTGGGAGACTTCTCTTCCCCCATTCCATCTCTGCTGCTGGGAAAAGCTGTTCTCCTTTTTTGCCAAGGGAGGGGTATCAAGGTTCCCTGGCAGTCTGGGCTCATGGTAAAATGTCTCCAACCAGAACTGGGAGGGCCATGCCGAGGTGTGCCAAGAACACAGGCACCCCACATGCTTTCTTCTTCTGAAACTCAGCCCCATGCAGGAGAAAGAACAGGACTTGTGAGTAAGACAGAACTGGTTTCAAACTTGGGCTTCCCCACTCATTTGCCAAGTGAGCCTGGGCAAGTCCCATATGTACTATAAGCCCAGACTGGTTCATCTGTGTGATGGGGAATAAGAATAGTGACCTCTCTGTGTTGACATGAGGATTAAAGAGGAAAACAGAGGCCAAGTATCTGGCAGAGTGTCTGAAATACACAGTAGCTCACTTAGGGAAGTCTTGTGTTTTTATTTTCTCCGTCTCTCACCACCTCTAAGCCAGTCTACTGCAGGCAGTAGTTGGGGGTGTCCAAGAAAGAGGAGAAAAATTTCAAGAAGGTGGAGTTCCCTTAAAAGTCCAACTGGGAAATCTAAACTACAGGAAGAAGTGTGACTTTAATTTGAGACATTTTTCTTTTCCAGAAGTCAGACTTCTAGGAATCTTGCATCTGAAAAGCCCCAAACACCTGCCAGCAACTGAATGAATGATGGCAAAGCCCTATCTGCTATAAAGGAGGTACTTAGTCTCTCTAATCCGTTCTTCATGTGCAGTTTTAAGAGCTCTTTCCCCTCTACCCCCATCCACTATTCACCTTCACCAGAAAAACTCCTGTTCCCTCTTCAGATCTTCAAGTAAATGTCCCTTCCTCAGAGAAGCTTCCTCAGACCTTCATACTGTTCTCCATAAAATCTCACACTCTTTCATTGCCTCTTTCATGAAAGTAATTAAAGGCAATAGTTGTGTGGCTCCCTGTTTAATAACAGGCTCCCCTAATAGATTACGAGTTTCACAAGGGCAAACATACTGTTGGTCCACAGACTGGTCTGGTGCTGCATGCAGAGATGGTCCATGGACACTCGCCTCATTGGATGAAGGCAACTTGGCCATCTGCATTCTGCAGACTCAGTCAACAAGAGGAAACAAGAATTTAAAGTGGAAGAAGAGGGTGTCTTAACACAAGAACCCCAAAATACATTTATAATGTATATAGACAAGGGGGAAAAAAAAGAGTATGAAATGCATTCAGGACTAGCAAAAACCTGGTTTTAGGGTTCCTTAGGGAAGAGTCTGTGCTTATGTCTGGGCCTGGAAGTCTGAAAGTGCTACAGTGGAACTTGATACCGGACCAGGAGCCAAAATGGTGGCTTGGTGTTCAAATAGATGTATATGGTAAGGTTACTGTCATAATTTGCAATCTGGATCTGAACCTCAATCTCATGACTTCATATTCTGACAATGCTCTCTGTAGATAGAGGAATCCATTTTGGAAAGTTCTCTCTCAAAAAATCAGCTTCATATTTTATGTTTTAGTGACTAAGTTGCAATAGGTAGGAAAATTATTTTAAACAGAGCTGCACTTTCTCCAACTATTGGTGTCAGATGGTGCCATAATTCTACACAAACTTCTGTTTCAAACACAAACTTCATTGTCCATTCACGTTCAAAGGTGGCTGACTCCAGCAAAAGAAAATAGATATGATTGATTGTTCAATACATTCATTTGGAAACCGGTGTCAAGAGTCTTAAATACGCTTACACCCTTCCCTTGGCATTTCATTTCTAAGACTCAAAGATAAAGAAATAATTAGAGCTGTAAAAGTATTTTATGTACAAAGAAGTTCATGAGCACCATTAGTTAAAATTCTAAGAAAAAAGAAATCCAAAAGTTAAAAATAAAAGTCGAAGTAAACAGTCGTATAAATTGTCACACATCACAACCATATAATAAACAAAATGGAGCAAAAAATACAGCTGAGAAGTTAATACTACTATCAGATTTTTTTTCTTTTTAAAATTTTGAGACAGGGTCTCACCCTATCGCCTAGGCTGGAGTGCAGTGGTACAATCATGGCTCATTGCAGCCTCGACCTCTCTGAGCTCAAGTGATTCTCCTGCTTCAACCTCCCAAGTAGCTGGTGACAAGATCACAAGCTGGCGAGGCAGTGTTACACAGACAAAAATACCATAACACTTAAAAAAATATACAGAAAAAAATACACCAAAATAAAAAGCAGTGGTTTTTCTTTGGATTTTAAGATAATAAGTGAATTATTTTGGTTTTCGTCTTTCTGAATGTTCCAATATGCATTATTTCATAATTAAAATTCATTTTCTGTTAATGAATTTATTTTCACCTACTTAAGCAAAAATTGTACACCATCAGTGTCCTATCAAAAATCAAAACCAAACCAAAACCAAAGAAAGTAAGCATGTTAAAAACTGTCGCCCACATAGGACTGACAGATCCTGAACAATCCCAGAATTTTTATTCCTCAACCAAACGATTTGGTAACATCCAATTAAGAGTGTGTTCCTTGGGTCTTGTCCCATTCATTTCTGTATTTTGGGTCAGAGCATCTTTCTTGAAGAAACCAAGTCATAAAGGGAATTGGATTGGAATCCAGGAGCCTCACTCTTTCTATCACTTACTCTGTCACCTGGGACACATCATTCCTCTTTTATGGGCCTCGGTGCCCCTGTATATTAATAAAATGAAATGTTTGGGCCAAGATAGTCATAGAGGGCTCTTTAGCCATGACTGACTATGAGTGTTTGCTTTTCTTGTCTCAGATACTCAATTCCCCCTTCTTTAAAACGACACAGATGAAATGATCTTTCAGCTCAGATTGCAGATGAATATAAAAATAGAAATAGTTTTCCATTAACTCATTCATCACAAGAACGCTTCTCAGCCCGGGCTGGCTGGGTTACCACCTCCCTCCCAACTCTTGGCTGGGGCCCCACACTCTGATCTCAGCTGTAGTCAGGAGAAAAATGGAGGTGGCCACTTTTCTGTGAGGGGTTAATGTGTATCTAGTTGAATGCTTTTCTTTTATTTACTATATAAACACTTGAATCACTCCTGGGTGTGTCCTGATATAAGAAAAGAAAATCATGACTATGACCATCTTTCCCTAATTCTACGGTTATGACAAATAAGATAGAGAATAAAATGCCCAAAGACTGTAAATGACCTCATTAGGAACATCCTATTTTCTCTCTCCTAGACTTCAGCCCTACCCCCTAAAAACGTGTTCTCTCTGGAATTTCACACGCCGGTCTCCTGCCCCAGACATCATTCTTTTGACCATCTCCTCCCTCGTCACCCCTTCCTCTTATCCCTCAAGTTTCAGCGCAGATGCCTCTTGCTCTGCAGTGCCTTCTCTGACCCCTCGCCTAGGCCCCCAAAGCACTTCGTCCTTCCCTTGTGAAAGTACACATTGCGCTTTTATTATCTGCTTCCATATCTGATTCTAAGCTTTGAGAACCGTATCTGCAAAAATCAGCCAGGGTCCGGCACATGATATTAGCTCAACTACTGACCAAAAGAATTTAAAAAGAGAGAGAGAGAGATGATAAAGCTTGTGAGCAGCACTGGCATAGTTAGGACAATGGGTTGTCCAGCACGTAGGGGTGACCCTGGCCCCGCAGGCTGGAGATGCGGAAGGAGGCAGCAGCTGAGGGATGCACACTGGCCTACCTTTTTGGTCTTCACTGTGGAGGTGCAGCAATCCCCGCCGTCATACTTGCAGAAGGCTCGGTTGTTGATGGCATCACAGTAATTGTCTCCCATGAAGGGCTGGAAAGGGAGAGAGAAGCAAGAAATGAGGCTTTGTTCACATCCTGGAGTGTGAGCTGGCATCTGCAGTCCTTTGGGTGTCTGTCATCTTTTCACGGCCCTCCCCGGTTAGCCCACCAGACTTCACATCCCCAACACCCGCCCTGGATAAGCTACCACCTCTACCATTCGTAAAGACTCTTATCTATCCCAGTTTTTTCCAAGTAGAGTAAGGTTATGCTGAGAGACATACTCTTGTGTGCTTGGGGATGCAAAACCACAAAATAGATGGCTTACTTCTTCCTGAAAGAGGGCTCATTTTACTCAAAGAAATGACCAGAAAATGTGAGCCTCCTTCTCTCATTATTTTCAGCAGTATATAATTAAAAACATAATTTATAATAAAATAAATGCAAATAGGAAGCTGAATGTAGAGTGCACAAGAGGCATTAAGATCAAACATCAGAACTCATAGAAATTTGGCACCATGGTCTGTGTGTGACAGCGGGCTGCCTCTCACGAGGAGGACAGATGTACTTGATGTCACACATTTTACATGTTTGTTTTCTTCTTTTGCTCTCCAAACTGTAAGTGAGGTAGGTATTATTATTCTCACTCTACAGATGAAGACGCTGAGACTCAAAGACGGGGACTTGCCCAAAATCACACTGGCACAGAGTGGATGATTTAAATCTAAGTTGGCTCTATGTTTTTGTTTGTTTGTTTGCGATGGAGTCTGGCTCTGTCACCCAGGCTGGAGTGCAATGGTGCCTTCTTGGCTCACTGCAACCTCCGCCTCCTGGGTTCAAGCAATTCTCCTGCCTCAGCCTCCGAGTAGCTGGGACTATAGGTGCCTGCCGCCATGCCCAGTTGATTTTTTGTATTTTAATAGACACGGAGTTTCACTGTATTGCCCAGGCTGGTCTTGAACTCCTGAGTTCAGGCCATCCGCCCGCCGGGGCCTCCCAAAGTGCTGGGATTACAGGCATGAGCCACTGTACCCGGCCCAGCTCTGTGGTTTTTTACTTCATCACTCTTGGCTGTTCCAGCATATACTGATTTATTTCTTTTATGTGTTTTCCCACCCCTGGGACACTCCAAAGATGAAGAAAAGATAATAGAGTCAAGCCATTATTTATCTGAACCTAGAGCCTTTTTAGGGGAAAGTCCAGAAGTCTCTTGGATTCCCCAGTAACTTGTATTTCCTCATCCCCACATTGTATTCTGTGGTCTGTTGCTGGTGCTGGTGCTGGTGCAAGACTGTGAGTTCTTCATGGACACGGGCAATGTCTAGTTTTCCTTTGTCTCCCAATCACCTCGTTTAAGGCTGCACTCAACTGTGGCTCTTAGTAACATTTCTGAAATGGAATGTAATTGTACTGGCATAGTGGCAAGGGCAGTTGGCAGGAATTGAGAAAACCTGGGTTCTAGTCCTCCCAACCTCAGCCAAGGGCGCGGTTACTTAGCGGTTTTTGTTAAGTGACTTTATCTCCTCTAGGCCTCAGGATTCCCACTAATGAAATAAAGAGGTCAGATTGGCTCACTGATTTCTCTCAAAACAGTGAACCTACTCCCCTCCATCAAATGCACTATTTTGTGAAATTTCAATATAGAAAGCGGATAAAAGTGAAACCACTCTGATTAAAGTGATGGTTGGGTCTCTAAAGCTCAGTGACTCCTTCATGGGAAAGAGATGCCATTTGTTGAAGACTTTTGCATCCAAGCACACCATCTGTGATCCAGTAGTCTCCCCTTCCCATCCTCACTGCTCCAGAGAGAACCGAGCTCCATCCCATGGGGTATTCCTGGCTTTTGCATCTCTGTTTCAAATTCTCACAGAACCTTTGCACCTGGAACTCATGATGTCAGATTTCATTTCTTCACTCCACTATTCGAGTCTAAAAAGATCACAGCTAAACAGAGCTCTAAGAGCAAGGAAGACCTGAGCTCAGGTGTGTGAGTGTGCATGCCACTGGCTGTGGGTTCAGGTGTGACTCTGCTGTGTGACCACCAGAATGAACACTTCACATTCACATTACAACAGCGGGGTGCAAACAACAAAGAAAGGATAAACCCTTTCTTTTCCTTCCTGCCTCAGGAGGTCTGCCTGTGGGCTATGTTCTTTTTTATGTAATAGATGAACAGACTAATGATGGAGACTAATTGTCCCTTCCTTCGAACAAAGGAACTGGCTTGGTAAAGAAGTAGCTAGGGAAAAAGAGAAAAATTAAATGAAGGTGATACTTTTCTATTTGGGCCCTGAAAAAATTCTCCAGTCCCATCACTACCTACTCTATCTTATATGTTCTTTCCTGCAACCATACCCTTTCTTCCCCCTATCCATCCATCCATTTATCTTTATTCAATCCTATGTGTTTAATTCCTACTATGTGTTACACATTACGCTAAGGAAAGGGATGCAGTGGTGAATCAATAACAGATAGAGTTCCTACCCTCCAGACCTTATACTCTAGTGAAGAGACAGATTTTAATCACATAATCACACATCTAATTAACCCATTTCAACTCCAATAAGAGCTATGGAGAAGAGGTACATGATGCTATTAAGAGTAGAAAGATTTGATCTGGACAGGGAGCTCAGTGAAGATGTCCCTGAGGAAATGGTGCTTCAGCTGAGATCATAAAGATGAATAGGAGTTAATTAGATGGGGTTGGAAAAGAGAGATTTCTAGAGATAGGGAACAACATGAGAAAAACTCTGCTACCTGGAGATTTCTCCTGTCTCTGGTGTATCTCGTGTTGCTACTTCTACTAGTAATGCATCCAGACAAACAAACCATCCTTCAAGATCTAGCTCAAATGTTACCGCTCCAAAATGCCATCGCTCATAGCCTCAGGATGCTCTGTGCTACCACAGCTTCCCGTATTTGATTTGGTGATAGCTCTTCAGGATTTTAGAATTTTCTCTTTAATTGTCTATCTCTTTCACTATACTGTGAGCATCATCCATTTTTGTATTCTAGATTCCTAGCAAAATGTCTGGCATTTGTGCAAATATAGATTCCATAAATGTTTATTTAGTAAAACAACGGATGGATGGGTAGATGGATGGATAAATGGATGGATGGATGAATGGATGGATGGATGGATGACAGGGAAGAAGATACCACAGATGACTCAAGGAAAGCATAGTCACTATTTTCACTGGACTAACACCAATATATTCCCAGAACTGGAACAATATCTGGCATATAAGAGGTTCTCAGTGAAGCTGTGAAGAACAAGTGAGTGAATGATCACTTTGGACCCAGCATGGTATAGAGAACAGGGGCTCAGCGGTCCCCAAACCCTTTGTCTTGGCTACCTCTGGATACTTGAGGTTGATGGTCCCAGAATTTGTATCTCTTCTAAGCATACTTTTCAGCTACAGACAAGGCACTATTAGAACTAAGCTAAAGAGGAAAGGAGATAAGCATCACTGGCAGGGCTCAGACCCCGACAGGTGAGGGTCTCTCGGGCCTCACTACTGAGTCCAAGAAGGGATTGAATTCTGCTGTCACACTGGTTGCCCAGACTGCCAACTCAGCAGAATGAGTGCCCAGGTAACTCAAGCTTTCTTTTCCCCAAATGCTGGATTGATCCAGAGAGATAGAAGTAAGCAACAGCCACAGGGCCTTGGCTTTGATTTTGCCACTCCCAATTGATGCTTGGGAGAATGAGGTTCCAAAAGTCAAGTACAATGTCAAATGCCCTCAGGAAATCCTCCAAGAATGTAGAGAAAGAAATGTGTAACCTAGGGATTGTCTGGTGACACTCAGAGGTCAGGGAATGGATCATAGGCAGGGAGTAGGAGAAAAGCACCAGCAGAGACGTTAGAAGAGCTGGGCATGCTGTGCTGACTTGGACAATTCATCCTCTCTCTGGCCCTCGTCTTCTACACCAAGAAAATAGAGCTTGATCAAATTAAAAGCCTTCCTAGTTCTGACATTGCATCAAATTTTAGATCCAGCCACTGCCTGGGTCTCTGTTTACCCATTTTAAAAATAAAAGGTTAGTTGAGATTAGGCAAAAGAGCCTTGCTGGTTCTGGCATTCTAAGAGTTTCATCAAATACAACTTTTTCTAGGGCATGGTCTGATCCTTTTCACCTGCGTTTTCCTCAGTGGGTTCTGGATGAATTACAGAGATTTGGCCATCCACCTGGAAGGGATTTCGGGCCGCTTTTTCACTGCCAGCTGGGAAGAGCCACAAGGGGCAGAGTGATGTGCAGAAATGTCTTTGAGTTCTGTGGACAGCCCTCCCGTGAGGACACAGCTGAGGTCCCAAGAACCATGCCCCTTGAGTCCTCCCAAGCTTGTCACTGATAAACAGAGCCAGATCTCTATAATTCCAAGTTCTAGGGAATGGCTCAACTGTGAAGTCACAGAATTTAAGGGTCATAAAGGCTCTTCCACTTCAGCCCAATGTTATATCTAAGGCATTCATATTCCTTTTGGGGTTGAGGCATGAGTAAATGGCTAAGATGTGGGACAGAAGGCATTGGTCTGCGAGTAAAGGTCATCCGTAAAATGGACATTAAAGACAAAACCACCTCACCCGACTCTGTAAAGGTTAAATGTAATAATGTTGGTAAATTTCCAACATTAGCATATTCTAGATGGTAAGTCATTATAGTCTCCCACCCTTCCTTTCTTACAGATCCCATATTTTGTAGACCACAGGCTCTGGAACCACAAAAGCCTGGCTTCGAACCCAACTCTGTTACCCATTCCCTGTGCTTTTCAGTACTTTTCTTTGCTTCAATTCCATCATCTGTAAAATGAGGCTGCTAATCCCTGTCCAAGAAGTCTGCTAAATGAATATTTTCAACACTCAGTAGGTATGGCAAAGGATAACCAACATTAATACAACAATAACAATAACAATAGCAGGATTATTTCCAGGGAACTGAAGAGTGCCTTCCCCGTGACTCACCTCACAGCCTTTGACACAGTGAATCAGAGCAGGGTGAGGATACCACTTGAGACCAGCAGTGCAGACAACTCTCTGTGGGAAGAGAGACAGAGAGGTGAGATGGGCTTGGGATTGGGAGGGACCCACGTCTGTGTTGGCACCGCATTCAACCACCCCACCTCCTCTGGCACCTTCCAAGTCCTGACCTCACCCTGGTGTTTACAAGGAGAACTTGCCCGCTTACTTGCAATAACAGGAGCCATAAGATTAAAATAATATTTGTGTTCACCGTATGTGTCATGGTTCTGTATTTCCCTGGCAGAAACAAGGGTTGAGGAGAAGCAGAACTGTGGGGTGGAGACATGATCAGAAAGGCCCTTCAGAAAATTCGCAACTGATGTTTGATCCATTCGTGGAGTTGAGATAAGGTTGGAGGAGGAGGGCTGTGTGTGCATGCATGTGTGTGTTTGCATGTGTGCATGTGTATGTGTGCATTCATGTATGTGTGTGGCTGCAGCAGGAAGATGGAAGAAAAGCATGGAGCAGCATTTCTCAAAGCATGAGCTGAAGACCACTTTCATCAGCACTGCCATGGGAGTGTGTTAAAATGGCAGATTCCTCAGCCCGGCTTTGGATTTAATGAATTGGACTCTCTGAGGCCACGCCCTGAGACTCTGCATTTTAGCAGCCTTTCAGATGATTCCAATGCACACTACAGTCTGAGAGCAAATGGGTTGCTGGATGAATGAACCGACCTGTGGCTCAAAACCCTGGAAAAACAGAGCACCCCTCCTGCTGTCACCTGCTGCCATGTCATATGGGTCTGCCCATGGTTACCAGAGGTTGCCCAGAATGAATTCATTCTTGCTCTGCCCCTTCTCGGAATGCCTTTCCCCATTTTGTCATTTTGAGTATCTTTAAAATGTCGGCTCAAAACTTATGTCTTCTGTGGTACTTTTCCTAGCCCCATCAGGCAGAGCTTATAGGCACTTATTTATAGCGTCTTTTTAAAAAATAATGATGATGATGATAACGACAACTAAAATATATATTTGAGTGTATCTGCTGTGCTAATTACTGTATGCATTATCTTATTTACTTCTTGCCATGATCCTGTGAGGTGGGGATTAATCTTGCGTCATAAGAGAATAAATTCCCTATGCTCCATAGCTGTTAGGTAGAGAAACTAGGATTTGAAAATAACCGATTGTTTCAGAAATGATTTAATAAAGCTCCTAACAAAAAATCCAACATTATGATATTTTTAAAAGTGGATGAAAGAAGACAGCTAAACAAGACTAGAAAGATAACGTATCAGGAATAGGGCCACCATAAAAATCCGAGAAGCTCCCATAGATGCCCCAGTTTTCACACCAGATTACAATTATTTCTTTGAAGAATGAAATAAAATAAAATGGCACATGCTTAGATTTGAGGTAACTGTCAGCATCAGCCAGGGAAGTCCACACGATCAGAGCTTGTCTGACTGACTGAGAGGCCAGTTTATTAATTTTAATTAAAAAATAGTCACCTGGGCCAGAATGTGGAAAATCCATGTGAACAGCCTATTCTCTCCCTGAGGGCAGACGTATATGGGAGCCAAATGGTAATTAGGTTTCTTGGTGAGGTTATGACAAAGGGAATCAAGTGACTCTCGACTGGATTGAGTGCCTTTCTTTTCCGCTCCATAACATCTCAGGTTCACATGAGATATCCCATGCCTTCAGCAATGCCTGGCATAGAGGGGATGCTAAATAAATATTTATTTTATAAAGGAACGGTTTCTTCTCAAAATAGAGATGATTTTATCAATGGGCAATAATTTCTTTACTTGACTTCCTGTCTTCTAGAGCATCAGAAGATCATCTAAGGTCAAGTCCTAGACTTGTCCTCTAAACAAGTCTAGTTTAGAGGACCATTTTAGTATAACCTGAATGTAGCCACTATCATCCTCCAAGTAGATCAAAGACCTTGGAGAAAGAGCTTAACTTGATGATCTCCCAGTCAATCTTGCAATGTGAAATCTACTATCTTGTCCCTTACTGCTTCTATTGAAATTGTCTACCCTTCCCTAATACACTCATAAGGTAGTATTTGGGAAAAGTCATGGGATATGAAACAGGACAGATGCGGTTGCAATTCTGATTTGGAATTGCTTTGTAAATTTCCACTCTGAGGGTTGGTTCTCTCATCCATAGGATGGGTACTGAAAATGTCGTAGACTTATTTAGATGATGCATTCATATAAATGATGTGAAAATGGTAAACCTAGTACCAATTTCCTAGGTTTCTTGAGGGCAGGTCTTGAGTTTCAGACATGTCTGTATCCTTCCAGGGTGAAGCATGGGGCACAGTGAACAAATCCATGAAGGAATGTGATGCAAATACAAATGAGGGAACGTGGGTCGTGTCAGTGTTCCTTTCTTCCAGTTAAGCCACCTTCTTCCCTTCCGCCTCTTCTTCCCCCACCCAGCCATGGGGCTGGGTGAAGAGGATCACCTGCTTTAATTCCCTTAACCAGATTTTCATCTCCAAGTATGAGAGTCTGTTCCCAGTCAAAATCCAGAGATGTTGGGGGGCATTTGGTAATGGTTTAAGAAGTAGAAAACAGCAGAGTTAGAATCTGCTAGGGATTTAATGCCCATGCCTTCCCCTGTTTATTTGAGAGCTAATTTAATCCATCTGTAGGAGTGTCTCAGTGTGGTTGTACAGGTTTTACCTGACGTGAGTTTGGAAAAAGAACTTTTTTACTAACTGCATAAGCCTATTTATCTTTCCAAGGCTTTTGGATTTTCCACTATTACTCAGGGCTGCATGCCCGCCTGTCTCACTACAGGGTCCCTCTGCATGCTAGAACTGGGAAAGGGTCAGGCAGTGGGAGCTGAAGGAATAGTTATGCTATATGCAGGAGAAGTTGGGAGATCCCAGACAGAGCCCCTCAAATGTCAGCCTTGTTTCTCTTGGTACTAGTAAGACATCTAGCCCAGCCAGAGCCTTTTCAGATAAGGTTTTGTAAGAGGGCTCTCATTTCCTGCCTTGGTGGTACACAGAATAGACTATCTTTTCTTTCTGGCTCCAATTACCATCATCATCATCAACACCAGTGGCACCACCATCATCATCACCACTATCATCATCAACATTTCCATGAATACTACCGCCATCATCTGCACCGCTTTCTCTTTATCATCATCACAGCATCACCACTACTGCCACCATCATCACCAGCATGAACCCACCATCACTACCATCACCACCTCCACCCACATCAACACCATCATCACTGCCAGTATCCTCATCCTTATCAGCACAAAATCCTCTATTAAATAAATAGTATGCTCTAAGCCCGGGGCTCAGAGCTTTTATCTCATTTAATTCTCACCATAACTATGAGATAGGTACTATTTTTGACTCTGGTTTACACAAGAGAAAACTGGGGCACAGAGAAGTTAAACGACCTGCCCCAAATCATACACATAGGTAGTGACAGTCAGCAATTAAACCCACATTTATCTGGTTTTAAGGTCTAGGCTTTGAACACTATGCTCTCCTTCAAAGTATACTATCCCCTGAAGCTGTAAGTATAAAATAGCTTACTCTTTTGACCAATGGGAAGACCAAAGTTCAGAAAGGTGGAAAGGCCCTTTGAGACAAATGTTGGAGGAGGTAGAGTATCTAAAAGATGAAGGCCAGAGAAGACAGGCCCCAAGCAGAGCCAAAGACATGTGAGAAGGCAGCGAAGAGAGCCCCCTCATCCAGAGGCCCAGATCTCACACCCCTCCTGGATGTCTACCAAGATGAGACCTTTTCCTCTCGGCTTTTTCCCTGACATATGGGACCTGCTATGAATGGATCGTATCAGTTATTATTATGATTATTATTTGCTTTTTGTTATCAGCCACTGAGTTTCTGGCTTCTTTCTCTAGCAAGCTTTTTAAAAGCCTAGGCATTTCCCACTCTGTATTCCTAGTGTTTGAAGAATACCTGCCACTTGGAGGTGCATACTTGATGTTTATTGAATAAGTAAATGAACAAATGAATAATCAAATAAATGAATGTATGAGCGTGTCTGTAAATGAATGAAAAGATAGGTGGATTCTGGCTGCATCTCTTTGTCTATGGACTTCCTCTCCAGCACACTTAGTTCTCCATCTGTACATGAGTTAGACTGGACTTAAAATAGTCACTCCGAACCATTCGACCTCTAACCTTTAGATACTCGGCAGGGTTTTCCACAAAGCTCCCTTCTTTTCACGAAATGAATTTTGCATTCTCTGTCTGCATGTGTCACATATTTTTAAGACATGTATGAGGGTTGCCCTTGCAGGATGGAAGGCAGTGCAATTAGCTAATTCTGCCACATTCATCATGTGAATTGGGCAGTGGCAACCTCTTTGAGCTCCAGCCTCTTCATCTGCAATGTGATAATCCTTACCTTACTGGGGAGTGCTGGAGACAAAATGAAGTGACACATATAGAATTGCCTAGCAAACCGTGTCTACATATTAGAGAGAGTCAATAAGTGGCAATTTACCTCTCCTTAATTCACTCCCTCCCTTCTCTTTCCTCCTCCCATTTTTTTTTTTTCCCCCCTCTGGAAGCTATTATGAAAGACAAGGTCTCAGCACCTAGAGGAATTACAAAGTCCTGAGGATAGGGAGATGCATTTTCTATCATGAAACACTCTCAGCATCCCTGGGCAAGGGACAATGTGTGGAACTGATGGGAGACAGGCTGCCACCCCAGAATTCTAGATCTCCAGGCTGGAATAGTCTATCTCATCCAAAGGTTGCAAGCCAACAGCTTCTAGGTTACACAAACCACAGAAATGTTTGGTTTGGCATACGAGTGCTTAAAAAAAGTCAAAATTAGTTGCCAAATTTTTTAAAAAAAAAAAAAATTCAGATTATAAAAACTCCAGATTTCTTGTACCCAAGAAAAAATGAAAAATTTGGCCACAGGAGACCCACATTTCCACATTGCTGCACTTGGCTACAGCTGTCCCCCTTTGGAAGCAGAAAAACAACTATGTTTTCCATAGTCTGCCATAGTCTCCACCATTCCCTGCAGTCTCTCCAGCATTGAACCAGAGGGGCATTTCCATCTATGATTGAGTTTGTATTATTTTGTTTATTAGATTAGAGGAAGAGTTCTCTGTACCTCTAATCACTTTCAAAAGTGCATGAACAGGGAAGGTGATTGAGAAGAAGGTGGCTTAGGACACAAAAAAGAAGGTACATTGTGTTTCGATGTTAAAAATACACATATGAAAATGGCTTGTGATTCCAGTTATATGGAGTTTACAAACAAGCAAAACCAATCCATAGTGATAGAGAACAAAACAGTGGTTACCTTGGTGCTGAGGAAATAGCCTGGCATGGGGAGGGAGGACTCCCTGAAGATTTGGACAGGTCCACATTTTAATATGGGTAATGGTTCCATGAGTGTACACAAACATAACAGTTTATAATGCCTTATGCTTAAGATTAGCATATAAGTTATAGCTCAATTTAAAAAAAGAAAAAAGAGGGAAGCTGAGGCAGAACAATCACTTGAGGACAGGAGTTCAAAACCAGCCTGTGTAACATACTGAGACCTCATCTCCACTAAAAAAAAAAATTAAAAAAATTGAAAAACAGAAAAATAGAAAAGGACTTCAACAGTATCTATAAAGTTGTATTTCTCAAGTTGCGTAGTATGTGTATGGTGTTACATTTTTCTGCAAGTCTGTCTTTCTGAAATATTTATAGTAAATACTACTACTAATAATATGCCTCAGTGATTCTATTTATTTATTTATTTTTATTTTTTGACACGGAGTCTCACTCTGTTGCCCATGCTGGAGTGCAGTGGCACAATCTCAGCTCACTGCAACCTCCACACCTCCTGGATTCAAGTGACTCTCCTGCCTCAGCTTCCTCAGTGGCTGGGATTACAGGTGCGTGCCACCATGCCTGGCTAATTTTTGTATTTTTAGTAGAGACGGGGTTTCACCATGTCGGCCAGGCTGGTCTTGAACTCCTGACCTCAGATGATCTGCCCACCTTGGCCTCCCAAAGTACTGGGATTACAGGCATGAGCCACCACACTTGTCTGCCTCAGTGTTTAACATACAAAAGGGTATGCTGGCCTGCTTCACTCATTTCTCCACCTGCCAGGTTCGGGTAGGTGGTTCATTTTGTGACTCCTGAGTGAAGCCTCGCTCTCACTTCACTAATGGGTAAACTATGGCCTAGAGAAGTGAAAGGATTTACTCCAGGACATATAGAAGGAAGGCGCCAAGGCTTACACTAGAACCTTGTTCACCTGACTCAGCAATCATAAATATTTAGCAAGTACCTACTGCTGCTGGGCACTGAGGGGAGGCACTATGGTAAAGAACATGACCACAGTCCTGCCTTCACAAAGCTCACTGTCCGGTGTACCCATCATGACCTGTGATCTCAATGTTGACATTCCACTCCTCTAAGCAGTCACCATTCTCTTCATTCATGTCAATATATGTAAAGTGCTTAAAATAGAGCCTGTCTTGGCTAAGCGGCAGTGGTGGGCCACAGCTGGCTTGCACAGGCTCGCAAGAGCCAACAGTGCCTGGATCTTCCCAACTTTGTGCTCAGTGACAGCAGTCTGGAAACCTTGAAATCCACCACAGTAGGAATATTTATATCACAGAAATTGGGAAATGCTATAAATCAGAGTTTCAGGTTTGTGGAGAGCCAGTTGTTAACTACCTGCCAGCACATCCCTGGAAAGCCTTGCCTTTATGATTCTGCATTCCATAGCGGCTGCGGGGATAGCTGAAGTAAACCATCAGAATGGCCTGGGTCTTTCTTCAACCTCCCTTAGGCAAGTGGCTTCTGTCTCTGACATTCCATTACTTCCACGGGAAGCAGGAAGAGACTATTATCCACCTGATAGGGAAATGTGTGTGTGGTTGTGCGTGTGTGGCAGGGGGTGGGGGTGGAAATAAAGGAGAGGAAGTGCCTGCCCAGTGCCTGATCACAGCAAGTGCCCTTTAAATGTCCATTCTTGCCTCTCACTCTCTTACCTGGGGATAAAAGTGGCAGCAGCTGGAGCAGAGCCTCTCCCCCAGCCATCTAAATTGCACTGGTGCTCACAGGCAGACCCTCAAAAAGCAGAGGAGCTATCCAGGGCCTCCTGTGGCCTGGAAACACCTGCACCAGCAGCTCTATTTCTGTAGCTCTCACCGCACAAGGGCCAAGGGTGCAGCAGAGGCCAGCTTTTCTGCCTTATTCCTGGAAATCATCAATCTCTGCCCTTCGCCCTCCTCCCTTTTTCTACCACATTTTTTTCCTCCTGGATAATGAGGCCTCCAGAGACCAGTGAAGGTCTGAACCTCGTTATGGTTCTCTCGGTAGGACAGCATCAATAAAGGCAGGCAGACCAGGGAACTGGGTGGGGGGTGGGGCAGGCAGACAGCGGGTGGGCAATGATGGGGAGGCGGGCAGCTTGCAGGCTTTCAAATCCCTGGATTTATTTCACAGTGAATTATAACTGAACTCTTTAGTGCCCAGGGCTCACAGAGGGAAAGGTGGGCATTTGCCCAGGGGGGTAGGAAAAAGGTCTTAAGTGGGAGGCTGGGCCAGGCCAAGAAGATCTCTGATACTGGGGTGAGAGGGAGGTCTTCTATGTCTGCTCTGCGTATGAGTCAAAGTCACCTGCTTTTGGGTATGTGGGAGTTAGGGTGGGAACCCGAAGGAGAACTGGTAGTGCCAATCCCAAGTCCAGCTTGTTCCAGCTGTGCTGCCTGTGTGGACCAGCCGCCTTCCTCTAAAAGCCTCAGTCTCCCTCTCTGTGCAATGAGAAGCCTGTCCTTCACGATCTCCAGCTGCCTTGAGATTGACATGTGGGCTCCCTGCATGCCTGGGTATGTGAGCATGTCAGGGTGCACTGGGGCATTCAAGGGAATCCGTATGGGAATTCTGGTTCAGGAATGGTGGAGGAAACAGATGGAAGAGCTTGGGGTTTGGGAAATAGGGCTGTCTTGGGGATATGGAGTGAGAGGCAGAGATAGAGAAACAGAGGGGATGATGGAAAGGAGAGTGTGGCCGAGAGGAAGACAAAACAAAGGGAAAGATAAAAGAGGGAGGAGAGAAAAACAGTGGAAAGACAGGTAGGAAAGAGAAAGAATAAGAAAGATAGAAAAAGAGAGAGCAGAAGAGAAAGAGGAAGCAGAAAGGAGGGGAGGAGCATGCCAGGGCACACGGAGTGGAGGGGTCTGGCCAGGTCTACATGCCCAGAGCACTGAGTAAGCCCTGGCAATGGTGCCCTCAGCGCATTTGAGAAACAGTACACCCAGTATCAGGTTCTGCCCAGCTCTCCGGAGTGTGATCTGCAGGAGGCAGGCAGACGGCAGCTCCCTGGGCTTCATGGCCTCTCAGCACCCCAGGCAATAGGCCAGCAGACAGACACAGAGCTGAACCTCACCCACCCCCCAACTCTGGCCTCCTCCTTTTACTTTCTTCAGGGTGAGGAGCCAGTGCCCAGAGTGAGACATAAGGCCTGGGATCTGTGATGTCCTGGCAGACAAGGGCAGGGCCCACATCAGCTCCAGGGGCCCCACTTGATGGGGTGACATGAAGGTGAGTGGGAATAGGCGACCTCAAAGTCACACTGACATTGCCCGGAGGTGGGAGCCTCTGGAGTCATCTGGCTGGGGGCATGCTGACCTGGCACTGTGGGAAGCGCACAGCACTCAGACTCACGCTTGGGTCAAGCCTCGGTTCAAGGCCTCACTTTTGAGATTTCAGTGTCCACAACTAGAAAATGCAGACAATGACCCCTCCCTCATACAACTGTACTGAGGCTTAAATGGCGTCTTGGTGCTAAGCACTGGCCACATGAACACGGAAGGTTCTCCACAAACAACCAAGCTTACTAGTTTGCTAGACACCTATTAATTGCTTTCCCCAAGATAGGTAAAGCTTGGAGAAAGATACCAGTAACCTAGGCTATGTAAAGTGGAAGGCTACATGGGAGGGCACCAGAGAAGACAGACAGCCCCATCTTTATAAGTGTGGACTTTCCAGCCAGACAGACTTGGGTCTGAGACCTGGCTCTTTGCTTCCTACCTCTGTTCCTGGTGCCTCCATTTATTCCTAGGCTGACATCAGCATTTAGTGGGACAGAAAATAAAAGGCCCTTTATCTAGGATCTGACACACAGAGAAAGTATTAAATAATTAAGGACTAGAGAAATGATTGTGAGTAAATCTCCTCCCCAGTCTACCCCAGCTTCCCCCAACACACACCCACAGGGCAAGTGTGACGATTAAATGAGATAAAGAAGGAACTCAGAACGGGCATTTCCCTCCCCCTTAGCTGCAGGTAGGTAGATGTTCCTGGTCACTCACCTCCACCCGCGTGGGGTTCAGCCAGTGGGGGATGTCACGCACGGTCATGTTCATTGGCAGGATGATGGACTCACTGTTGCGGTCCAAGCACGAGGTGGCACACTCGGACCCTGAGGGAAACACAGCATGAGGCGGTGTCTCAGGCCCCAGACCCTCCACTTCTGCAGATGGCCCTCCTGCAGAGTGGGCCCTGCTGCTCCCTGGTCCCCGGTGGACTCAGCCACTCAACTTCAAGGCATTGGGAAGGAGGAGGCTCCCCGGGCAGGACCACCTCTGATCGCCCTGACTCCATTCACATGCCTCCCATATGGCTGATTCCTGCTGCCACCCTCATCAGCCCTGAGCCTAGGTTAATCCAGCTCCTCTTCTGCTCAAACACCTTTCCAAGGCTGCCCACATCCAGAACAAGATACAGGCCCCTTTGCTGGGTGTAAAATACCTCCTGCAGTCTGGTCAGTCTCTCTCACTAACCACCTTCACTCTTTGGTTGGTTCAACCAGACTGAACTACACTTGGTTTTCCATCTGAGTCCCACAATTCTCAGTCTCTGTGCTTCTTCCCTTGTTCACCCCATCCCCTGAAATGGTCCCCAGTCTGCCTTCCCATAACCAAATTCTATCCGAATGCCCAGTTAAATTCTTCTAAGAAGTTTGCCCTGATTTCCACAACTGAGACTGGCTGTGCTTGATTCACCTAGGAGTTTAACACGGTGCCTGACACACAGGGAGAACTCACAGAGTATTGGATGAATGAATGATGAGCACATAAATGCAATACCAGCTTATTTTTTTCCAGAGTTTCATCCCTGCCTTGCCCTGTGCCTTAAAGACACTTCCCACTCCAAATAGTGCATTTTTAATAATCCTACAGACCTCCGTCCCATGCCACTTGCTCAAAGAAGACCTCCATGGTTTCCCGACAGGCCAAGCACCTCACAGATGCCCACGACAGAACTGTCACGTGACCATTTCCTCTTTGCTTGGTGAGTGTGATATCAATAGATCTCTCTTCCCTGCTGGACTATAACTCTACAGGGCCAGCACTACCCATGCTGCCCGTTCTATGTCCAGAGCCTGGCATTATGCATGGCAGATGGTAGGCACTCAGTAAATGTTTGTGAAATTAGTGTAAGAGACAGTGAGTGAATAAGCGCATCAATGGATGAGGTAATGAGTGAATTAATGGATAAATGAATGGAATGAGGACTGAATGATGAATATGCATTTTGGTATCTTATGAAGGAGGAAGTAAGTGCATAAAGGGATAAGTGAATAAGTAAATTATGGATTAAAAGAATGAAAAAAAAAAAAACCTCAGGTAATGAGTCAAATAAGGGGTAAATGACTAACAGAGAGAGAGATAAGGCTACTACATAGAAGCGTTTGGTCCAGTAACTTCCGGATGAAGACAGTTGACTTCCAGGCTGTGGGTTGAAAAGCTGACTGTAATTCAGCTCATTCATTCTTTACCCTGACCTCACACACCCTGAGGTCATCTGAAAAATCAAGCCTATTCCATGGAAATGCCCCAAAGAGGCATTTATTCATGTGGGCAAAGAAACAACCTGTCAGAATCCGACAAGGGCTGAAAGAGGTCAATTCTCTGTCATCGTATCAAAACCACCTTCCAAATACTAAATAGTTCACTAGGAGCAAGTCAACTCTTTTCTTTAAATATCCTGTTCTATTAGCTGTTCTATTAGCTGTTTTAAAGGCCCCCTTCCAAATATACATACATACAAAATGTTTATCTGGATACAAAATATACATATGTGTATTTGGAAGGGGCCTTTAAAATAGCTAATTGCATAAATATATACACACATCTCTGTGTATATATATGATGTAAAAAAAAATCAGGTAATGAGTCCATGAAAGGGTGGATGACTAACATGACATGCACAGGCAGATATGTATATACACACACACATACACATGCAATATACATAGAGGCACGTATACATGGACATGTATGTAACCTATCCATTGCCCTTTTTGGTGCCACCTCATCATCCTTTCTAGTCTAAGAGGCTCACAAATCTAAAGAAAGAGGAAGGATGGAGTGGCAGGACCATGTTTAAAAGCCCTTCACTTTGTAAATATTTACTTATTTATTTATTTTATTATGAGACAGAGTCTCTGTCGCCCAAGCAGGAGTGCGGTGGTGCAACCTCAGCTCACTGCAACCTCCACCTCCCCGGTTCAAGCGATGCTCCTGCCTCAGACTAGTGAGTAGAAGCCCTTCACTTCAAACAATGGGCACTGAACCTGACTAGGGGCAATTCCTGGCCTCACCCGTGGTTATTCTATGTTTCCTCACTTCCCTGCAAATCCAGACCTGTGAGACGAGTGTCATGACACGTCTCTGATTCCAAGCCCCACAATCAATACAGGGCAGCCACACAGTGAGAGGAGAGAGGGAGGCAGCCATCAAAGCAGGAGAGATGGTGAGAGCCAGAGGAGAGACAAGAAATGAGACACACACAGACGAAAACGATGAGTGATGAGAATAAGAAGCAGAAGTCCCTAAGCAGTCAGAGAAACTGCTTATGGAGCGTGCATTATCATGAGACCCGTTCTAAAGGAGTTTTTAGAGAGCAAAGATGAGACAAGGCTGTGATGAGAAAATTCTTTTGTGGAAAAAAAAAAAAAATGCAGCCTCTGAGACATAGACTAAGGCTATCTTATCCCAAGAGAGGAAAAAAAAAAGGAAGAGAAAAACCCGTGGTCGAAACAGGAGACACTTGCTGTCCTCTGCAGCAGTCATGTCTTAATTTCTCTTTCTCCTCCCTCCCCCGGGCTCCCCTCCCCTACACCTGCTCTGGGGCTTTAGAACCAGGCTGTTGTGTTGTGATATATGAGCCACAATTGGCATTTTTACAGAGCGGTGATCTCACCAGGCCCCTGCAGCTCCTTCCTGGTGGGCGCGGGGAGGGTGGCAGCCCTGGTGGCAGCAACAGCAAGTTTCTGAGGGCTCGTAACTGCCACAGGAGCCTCCTCAGGCAGCCTGGCAGAGGCATGGAGAGAGAACTGGTCTGGGCGACTCCAGCTCCCAAGCCTGACACGTATCTCACCCCTGCGTATAAGGCTAGTGATCAAATCCCTCTCCTTGGCAAAGTGGATTCTCCTCAGGGAAGGGCTCAGCCTGGGAGGTGGAAGTGAGGGGCGTTTGGAGGAAAGCGAGGACACAGCTGGGGCTGAGAAGTGGATGAGGAAAAGCTGCTTTCGCGCCTTGCCTCTCACACACCCTCAGTCTTCCTGTCTCCGTATGTGGCTTTTTCTCTCTGCCCTCCTCCAGTGCCCTTATGCACTCATCATCTGCCCTGGATTATCACATTCATAAGATGGACATCTGGGTGCCAGCCATGGGGACTTGCGGTACGGGAAAGGGGAGTTAATTCAGGTTGCAGTATCATATAGATTTCTTTCCCTTTCTGCTTTGACCATGAAAAAACTCAACGGGTAAAGGAATACCACCCTCCCACCCCTTCCCCTCTTTTCTCCAGTGTTCTGACGGAGAGAAGAGAGCCAGGCATTGTGGGCAGCTGGGACATGTGAATGAAATGTGTAAATGTGTCTGTGATATTTGTTTGCCTTTTGTGCATCTTTCTGTGTGTTTGATATGTTTGGGGACATAAAATGTGTTGGTGTCTGTTGAAGGATGAGACTTGTATGCACTGCCTGTGAGTGCTGTGTATAGGTTTGCGTGCTACCTGTGTGTGTGTGTGTGTTTGTGGGAGTGATGCATTTGTGTGGTATTTGGCTGATGTGTGGGTGTTGGGCATGAGCTTACTATACGATGCGTGTGTTTGGGGGTTTGGTGATGAAGCATTTCAGCATGTGACATGCATTTATATATGCATGTATGAATGTATTTGAATATATCAGTGGTGTAGATATGCAGCAAATCTGTTTCTACAGGTTTTCCCTAAAGGTCACTTAATCAGGCTTTTTCTCCCAGGGCTACTCAATGCTAGTTAAGAGCATGACGGAATATTCACCTGCATATTCTGACTGAGCTGGAGGTTGTGGAGATTGGGACCCCATCACAGACATACCTGTTCAGGACCACACATGCCCATAAAAAAGATGGAAAGAAGAAAGTGTTGACCTGGAGATGGTGCAGCCCATGCTGCTCACCATGGCAACATTTGCCCCAACCTTCTAGAATGCCTACATTGGCAGGCCCTATGAGATCCCATCTCTGTGCAACCGTCCTGGTCAGCATCTCACAAATTGGTGGCTGTGTAGGATCTTAAAGTACCTTCTAAACCAGGCGTCCCCAAACTTTTTACACAGGGGGCCAGTTCACTGTCCCTCAGACCATTGGAGGGCCGCCACATACTGTGCTCCTCTCACTGACCACCAATGAAAGAGGTGCCCCTTCCTGAAGTGTGGCGGGGGGGCTGGATAAATGGCCTCAGGGGGCCTCATGCGGCCCGTGGGCCGTAGTTTGGGGACGCCTGTTCTAAACTGTCAGCGAGAGCAATCACACGCTTTGGTGTTTTTCTGACCCATGCAGGAGCCAGTGCCCTGGGCTAAATGCAAGAGTGCTGATTTCCACTGTAAGTTAGGGTGAGGGACTTCTGCTATCTGAAGGCATGTGTTTTCATAGTCAAAAAGAAATGGATAGTCCCCATGAACCTTCCCTCTCCAACCACAGGCTTTGCTTCTGGACATGCAATGATAACTCTCTGCTTGATGGGTGAAGATCAGGTTGGATCTCTGCACACTCAGACAACCTTCTACACCAGGCAGCCCTGGCGACTGCTCCATAAATCACACTGGCCAGGAGAAAGAACATTCAATTCTCTAGGCTTTTCATCATGTTCAATTAGGGAATCAGCCCAAAAGGTCAGCATCACTGCCCTTAAATGAGGTCACACTCCATGTACTCGGAGCACCCTGGAAAGCCGTGGTGCTTCTGATTAATCATCTGTCCAGACACCTGGTTTCAACAAGGCAAATCCCTGGCATACAATCCCAGCTTGTCTCTTCTCACTGTGTGTATTTCTTGAGCTGGCCTGTCACCATACAGAGAGCATTTTGAAAATTCAGTCTGTGTTCATCTTGAACGCAGCAGAGATGATATGGAAAGAAGTCAGGCTTTGGAATAGGATGGGCCTCAGGATTTGGGAGCATGTTCCATTATCCCCTCAAGTTCTGATTCCCTCATCTGTTAAAGGTTATTTCAAAGATTGACATAATGCCTTTCAAGTGCCTGATGAAGGGCCTGAACCGTATCAGGTACTCATGAATGTTTAGTATGGTGCAAATTTTAAGATTAATAGTGAAAGCAGCTACACCAGACTGCTATTCCTTCCCTAAATAGCAGGGTGTGCTTTCATAACTCCGGCTCTTCAGTCACAGAGTTTCTTCTGCCTGTAATAGCATTTCTTCCCCAACAAGCTTTTTCAAATCCCTGTGTAAGCATCCCTTCCTCTGGGAGCCTTCTGGGTCCCCCCGCCAGGCATGTGACAGCTTTTCTGTACTCTGGTGTAACTATACACACTCACCCACCATTGCTTCACCTTATCCCTGCCTCTGATACTCTTTCTGGGAGAACACAGTCTAGACTCACTCATCTCTCTTTCTCTAGTGCCTACACAGGAACTCATGTGACCAGGGTGTTCAGTGACCCACCCAGGCACTGACCCTGCATTGCTGGGAGGAATTGCCCCTCCTACTGCTCCCCTCTCAGGCCCATCGTACCTATGGCATAGCCATCAGGGCACTTCAGTTTGAGGTTTCTGTTGAGCTGGTTTGGGACTGAGCACTGGCCTTGCATCTCCTGGCAGACATGGAAGGAGCCGCTCCAGGTGCCATCTTTCCGGCAATGAATGATGTTGCTCCCGTGTCCCTGAACAACAGAGAAACAGAGTCAGAACCAAGAGAGACACCGGCCCCAACTCAATAAGCTATTCGGAATAAAACAGAAAACAATTTTTCATCTCTTCAGAGCTCTGAAGTGTTCCAAAACAATTTCTTAACAATGGTTGAAACTCAACCACCCTGAAAGAGAGGTATTGTTAGTATCTGCACTTTATACACAGGGACTCAGACCAGGAAGAAACCTGCCCAAGGCTTCCCAGAATGCCAAACTCCCAAATCCGACTTTAGTAGTCTCAGAAATTTCCATGAGAGCCAATTAATATTTTGATTTGTGTGTGGGAGTTTTTTTTAATTGAGAAGATAGGAGCCCCTCGGCTCTTCAATTGACACAGACAGTAAGAGCATGGGTTAATGTGAAGCAATAAAGTTTGCTTCCCCTTAAAAAGTGAGAAAGTATCCTATACCAGGGCTCTGTCCTATATTAACTAAATAATCTGGGTCTAGTGAGAAGCTTTTTTTTTTCCAAGGCATTTCTTTTCCTTCTCTTATCCTTCCTTTCATTTCATTTCATTTCATTCCATTCTGTTCCATTTAATTCCATTCCAACAATAATGGCATGAAGAGGGTGATATGGGGATATTTATATCTGTACTTTCCTCCCAACTCTTTAAAATAGGGATGTATAGTTTCTCAGTCTTCTACAAAGCATTAGGCAAATGCAGCTTGAAGACATAATCCCTTCTTGAAGTCCCCTTCCAACCTCTGAATTTCAGAAAGCTAATTCCAGTAAGATTCCTTAGTGTCCAATCTGTGCCCACTTCTCTGGGGTGCAGAAGTATAGAGAGTCAGTGCCTGCCTCTGTGAGCTGGCGGTTGTGGCAGTCACGTGAGGCACCAGCTGTTAGTGTGATTGTGTTAGTATCTCCATTTTACATATGGGAAAACTGAGGGCTCAGTGAGGCAAGGCAAATATCACACCCGTATTGTGAGTACTCAAGGAAGAGTAACTGGTTATGAGGGAACAATCAGGGAAGCCCTCTTAGAGGAGATGATATATGGAAAAATGCATGGAATTGCAGGCAGAAAAGGAACAGAAGACATTCCTGGAAGATGGAAGAGAATGTGCAAATGATGGAAAATACGGTGAGTGTTGAGAACCTGGTGTGGTTCTAATTCCATGACTCAAGGGATGAAGCAGGGGAAGATGAGCTGCTAACAAAGATAAAGCATGGAGCCTTAAATGCCAACTTGAGTAGTTGAGAGTCTACCAAAAAGAAATGGAGAATCACAGGTGGTTTCTGTGCAGGGGGCCCATATTCTGAAGGATCCGAGAATTTGCTACCTCTTTCAGGCTTATAATAAGATGAGAAATTTGACATGAGGCCAAAGGAGCTGGCTGTGTGCCACCAATGCAAAAATGTATGCAATGGCTTCCTGTACCTTCGGCTTCCAGGCAAAGTCCTGTGCTGGCTCCCGAGCCCTCCCAACCTTCATTCTGCCTAATTCTCCAGTTTCTTCCTCTCCACAGCGCCACCACCAACCTTTTTTTTTTTTTTTTTTTTTTTTGAGACGGAGTTTCGCTCTTGTTACCCAGGCTGGAGTGCAATGGCGCGATCTCGGCTCACCGCAACCTCCGCCTCCTGGGTTCAGGCAATTCTCCTGCCTCAGCCTCCTGAGTAGCTGGGATTACAGGCACGTGCCACCACGTCCAGCTAATTTTTTGTATTTTTAGTAGAGACGGGGTTTCACCATGTTGACCAGGATGGTCTCGATCTCTTGACCTCGTGATCCACCCGTCTCGGCCTCCCAAAGTGCTGGGATTACAGGCTTGAGCCACCGCGCCCGGCCGTCCACCAACCTTGAACTTCAGTTTCAATTGCCTGCATTTGTGAAGGCATCACATGCTACGCTTTCATGCTCACTGCTCCTTCTGTCTGCTATGTTTCCTACCTACCCCACCTTGTCTACCTTGCAAACACTTATCTGACACAACCCATCCTGCTCTCATGCCACCTCAGTTCTGTATGGGGCACTATCTTAATGTCTCTGACAAGACATTACCTATTTGTTTATCATTTGTTCTGCAACCAGACAATGAGCTCCTCAAGGCCCAGGCTGGTGCCCTATTCAACCTTGTGTCCTCGGGGTCTTCCACATACCTAAAAGGTCCAGGCCACTCTGTGCATTCATTCATCACTTAATAGATATTTTTGTTCATTCAAGAACTGTTTGTTTACACTGCATGTTCTCATAAGTGGGTGTTGAACACTGAGAACACACAGACACAGGGAGGGGAACATCACACACGGGTGCTTGCTGGGAGTGGTGGGGTTAGGGGAGGGCTAATATTAGGAGAAATATATAGCAAGGGGTGGAGGATTGGGGAGGGCTAACGTTAGGAGAAATACCTCATGTAGACGACGTGGGGGATGGATGCAGCAAACCACCATGGCACATGTATACCCATGTAACAAACCTGCACGATCTGCACGTGTCCCAGAACTTAAAGTGTAATAAAAAACCAACCAACCAACCAAAAGAACTACTTGTTTAACAAAAGATGGGGTAGGTTGGCGGAGAGTGATAGAATGTATTTCTTTAAGAAATAAGAAAGTAAATGAATGTGTGCATGAGGAAATGAATGTACAAGTAAGTGGAAACAATTAATGAATGAGGGAATAAATTATGAATGAATATATGAAAAAATGAATAAACTCCAAAAAAGAACTGATACAGGTTGAAGCTCCCCTCTTTGAGAAAACAGCTGCAAAGAGACAGGATTCAGAACAGAAAGGGGCCCCTTTCCAGGCCTCTCCTGTGCCGGCAGAAGGAGGGTGCAATTGCAATGGAAACCTCCTGAGCTTAGGAGAAGAATGGCCCATCCTGAGCATGCAGCTGCAAGGCGGCTTGCAGAGTTTACTCCCAGAGGTTTTGGATGGGCTCATGGCAAACTTAGGCAGCTTCATGTGGCTTCAAAGAGCCCAGACTCTCCCTCTCAGAGCCCCAGGCTCTGGGCCCCATGATTCTCCAGGGCCCTCTGGGGAGTAGGAAATTGACCCCAATTTCCTGGAGCCTTGGCCTGGGCCTATGATGCATTTGGCTTCCAGCCCCTGAAGGGCTGCAGACCTCAGCACTACTTGGGCCAGGGCTGGCGGGAGAGCTTGGTTTGTAACAGAGAATGTATTAGAAGTAGCCGGAGTCTGCTCACAGAGTTTCACATTGGGGAGGCACCACCATGAATGAAAGGTGGGAGCATAAAGCCTTGGTTTTGCTCCCACTGGTTTATCTCTCTCCTGCCCATTCATCTGGCATTTTCTGTTACTAAATTTGCTTTTAAAAATAGATAGCATCCTTTTGCTAAGACACCTTAGCCTTCAGGACAAGGCATACTGGTAGGTTGCCACTTCCCGGCTTCTGCAATGAAATTCAGATGATATTTCTAGCTCCATCTCTTGTATGCACACATCCTTCCTTCTAGACAAGTGAATCACTTTGTTTCTCCTGCAAACTTTTCTTGCTTTCCTACCTCCACTTCTTTGCCCTTGCTGTGCCCTCTGCACAGCAGACTTTCTGGAGCTTCTTTGGATTTTTAAATCCTTCTTTAAAACTAGATGCTAATGCATTCAGCAACTGCCTACCACCTGGTACAGAACTTCAGCATTGATTCTTGCTGACTGAGTCTAGTTTGACTAGAGAAGATCTGGCATCACTGAGGCTCCCATCTGGGAAGACCAGAGAGTATTTTTTCTGGGTGTTGCCAGGGAACTGACTGGGTATGTTTGACTCCAAATGTACAATTCTTCATGCTAAGGTGAAATTTCTCTAAGAGAGCTGAGCATCTCTCAGCAAAGCGGTTTGCCTCTCTGTGCCTGTGCATCTGTTATTACAAGAGCATACTGGGCTCTTTCTAACGCTCCTGCTGTTTTAGCTACACAGATCCACAGGGAGCTGAAGGCATATAATAATTATATTATCAAATGCCTATTACATGCCCAGTGCTTTAAAAATCACTTGAACAATACAGTAGAGTAGAAATTATATTCTTTTTGCCGACCTGGAAACCAACTCTGTTAGGAAGTGAAAAAGTGAGTTTTTGAATGATGCTAGTGTCATGGTTAAGAGCCTGGGTATAAGTCAAACTGCCGGAATTCAAATGCAAGCTTGGCAACTCCCCAGCTGGATAGATTTGGGGATGTTCTTTAACTTCTCTGTGCCTCAAGTTCCCTGACTGCTAAATGGGCATGGAGTGAGTGATCTGCTACTGAGAGAGTGATCATGAGGACCGCGTGCGTCCATTTATGTAAAGCATTTAAAGCCTAACACACATACTGAGCTCTGTAATTGTCAGATGAGGTTATTACTCACTCTGCTCTACTGTCTCTAAGAGAAGTTTACAATCAACCCAACCAACAGTACATCTTAGAAATGAGCGAAGCCAGAAAGGGGAGGCCATGCGCTCAAGTCTCAGAGGTTGCCGATGTCAGAATCATGTCTCTTGACTGTAAGCTGCTGTACCCTAGGCTGAAGGAAAAGAAGGAAAAGAAAGGAAGAGGGAGAAGTAGTAGACTTCTTCTTCTTAGAAGACATGAAAGTAAACAAAATAATAGCAGGGAGAAATGTAGTGGCATCTGAGCAAGATAAAACCAGGCAGCAAGTGCAGGAGCTAAAGGGCTAAGCTTTGGAGGCATGCTGACTTAGTAACAAGAGTGTCAGTTCCACCACGTCTGGTTGTATAAGACAGGACAAATCCATTTACCTCACCTTCCCCATCTTTAAAATGGGACAGTAATGCCAGATGCCATGGGGCTTAGATGAAGCGATCAGTTTAAAGTGCTCATCCCAGTGACTGGCATGTAGTAAGTGCTCATTAAATTGCAACTGCTGTGACTCATTTGTCTCTGTTCCTAGTCAATGCCCTCACATGCATTTCGTGTCCTCCAAGGTGGGTATGGGGGTGACATGTTGCCCCAGGAGTGAGGATGAGTAGAAAGTGTGAATTGTGCAATGACACAGTTTAAGACCTGTTTCTGCTTGTGTGTCTCAGAGCAAGTACCTTTCCCTTTCTGGACTTTAGGGCTTCCATCTGTAAAACAAGTGGGCTGCAGTGGGGATCCCTGAGGTCCTGCCTAGCTTTAACTTCACATTGGTCTGCGGCTCTTTTGAATTCCTCTAGGATATCCTGGGTGCTTGGCCAAACATTTAACAACCTGAACTGAAAAGCTAGCTGAGGCGATGGACACATGTGAGCTCTATCTCGTCCATGGAAGGGCCCACAAGTGGAGAGGGTAGCTCTACACCACCTGTGGCAGAAAGGCTTTCACAGCCACCTGCTGTGATCTGTGCAATGAACTGGGTGTGATGTAGATTCCACCACACTCTTCCTCTCTTATTCCTGCTGAATTGCTGAAATCCATCACTGCATGCATCACTGTGCCCACAAAGCACCTTTAGCTTTTGTTGTCCCCTGCTGATGCATCTTCTAAAGACCCGGTCCCCATCCCAAGGCTGACCACTCCCTGAATCATCTACAAAGCCCCCACAGTGCTTCTCACAGGTAGCCAAGCCTCCGTTATCTCATCAACCAGCTCAAGGGCATCTGAGTTGGATTAATTCCTGAGATGAGTATCTCCTCACCCCCTGGGGATAAAATCTCTGCCCTGTGCTCCTAGTCTGCCCTGAAAATGTTTGGGAGCAGTGGAAAGAGCAGAGCTAGGGATCAGAAAGAACACCACCTGCTATCTTGTTGCCATGGACAAGAACTTAGCCTCCCCCCCGCCTTCTTTCTGCATCTGTAAAATGGGGATATTGTTTCTTTTCCAACTGCATGTTGTGAGCTGTCAAAACAGAGCAAGTCTGCAGTAGCAGCTTGGCACACATCTGACACTCAAAAACAAAGTTTAAAAGCTGTTATTATTACGGTTCTCCGTCTTGGTTTAAAGAGACAAGAATACCATAAGCGCTAGAGCTGAACTATCTGATATGGTAGCCACTGTATAAGCCTGGCTATTTACCTTCAACTTTGAATTACTTTAAATTTAATAAAAGTTAACATTTTGTTGCTCATTTACTGCAACCGTGTTTCAAGTGCTCCATAGCTACACGTGGCTAGTGGTCATCACTTGCCTAGCACAGATATGGAACATCTTCATCACAGCAGAAAGTTCTATTGGGCAGTGCTGGTCTAGAGGAACTAGAGGACTATTTATTTTACAGGTTTATTTGAGCAAGAGACCAGGTCTGACTACAGCTCATGCTGGTCTCTTTATTCCACACCCTGGCCTTATGCAGGATGGGTGCCCCTTATCAGTTTTTTGTTTTTCTTACTTTAAGTTTTGGGATACATGTGCAGAACGTGCAGGTCTGTTACATAGGTATACATGTACCATGGTGGTTTGCTGCACCTATCAACCCATCATCTAGGTTTTAAGCCAAAAAGAGGCTATATAGCCAAGACAATCCTAGGCAAAAATAACACAGCTGGAGGCATCACGCTACCTGACTTCAAATTATACTACAAGGCTACAGTAACCAAAACAGCATGGTATTGTTACCAAAGCAGATATATAGACCAATGGAACGGAACAGAGGTCTCACAAGTAACACCACACATCTACAACCATCTGATCTTCAACAAACCTGACAAAAACAACCAATGGGGAAAGGATTCCCTGTTTAATAAATGGTACTGGGAAAACTGACTAGCCATATGCAGAAAACTGAAACCTCAGTTTTGAGAGTTAGCCAGCATCGGGCTAGGTTGCAATCTTTTGTATTTCTAGGTCCTCCAGGAGCCCACATAGAGCATGAGGGATTCTCGCCCCTAGAGTGACTTTAAAGCAGGCTAGTTCAATTGTGTTTTCCCCAGGGCTACCGTGTATGATTGGTGGTAGGAAAATAGGTTGTGCACTGCATAAGTCCAGTGGGTACCCATAGACATGCTTTACTTTCATTACTTTATTTAAGCTTCACTAACAAACCATGAGGTAGGTAATACTTTCTCCTCATTTTATATAAAAGAAAAGTGACACTTCAAGAGAAGTAACTTGTCCTCCAGTAAGTAGGAGATGAAGCTGGGATTTGAACTCAAACTACAGATCCAGCATCATACTGACTCCCAAGGAATTAATAAAGCGAGGTTTTCATTTGCTTTTAGTGGCAGTGGAAGAGAGTGTGTGAATCTTCCCTATGATAGCCCCTGTCCTTTCCCGCCAGCATCTGAAACTTGTTTGGAAAGCAAAGCATCCCTGCTCCACATAAGCTGTTTGATTCAAGATACTCTGGGCTGGGCGTTTCTGCTGTGTTTATAGGCAGCAAGAGGGGATCTGAGGTGAATACTAGATTTGGCTCTCAGGGCCCCTGTCTGAGGGTAGAGGAAATTCAAAGTAGAAACGTCAGTTGTATTAGGAGCCCATTTGGCATGCACACCCTCATTCTTTGAGCAGACAAGCAGTACCCTGCTCCTTTGCAACTAGCCTCTCTGTCCGTTGCCAAACAGAGCTGCTTGAGTTGTCTGATAAATTTACATTTTCCTTTCCTTTAAATACAAACTGGCCATGAAAGTTACTTGGAAGGCACCAGGCAGACTGGGTTTCAGTTTGATAACATGACGGCAGCCAGATTATTATTTGGCTCAGCAGTTTGGGTAACTGTTAGCAACAGTTTTATGTAAGGGAGTGAGAGGAAAGCTGATCAGTCTGCAAGAGGCCATGGTAATCTCCAGTCCTTTATTTGTTTCGCCACTGGCTTCTGGCTCCCTGGCAGTCAAGGATGGGAATGACGAATGACGCCCATGAATGCACACAGACGCCGTGAGTGTATGTGAGCGGGATTCTCAGGTGGTGCCTACTGGACTCAGCCCATTTACAGTTGGAGAGGGGGAACCTGGATCCTGATTGTGACTCAGCCGATGCCAGCTGTGTCACCATGGGGGATTGAGTAACCTCTTTGAGTCCTGGTTTTCTCATCTGTAAAAGGGGGAACCTACCTTTGATGTTCATTGCAGTCTTTCCTTCTGCCCTTAGTTTGGGTGACATTTCCTGAGTACCTACTAGGTGCCTGGCACTGTCCTAAGTGCTGAAGGCGCAGGGAAGAGTGCAGATGCAGTGAAGGATTGCTTCACGGCCTAGTGTGTGGATATGGAATGAAAGCAGGTAGTGACAACGCAGCGTGGCCAATGCTGTAAAGGGGGAACCTGAGCAGGGGCCTGGAGCCCAGCAGTGGAAGGGACACTGAGGAGGGGCTCCTGCAGGAAAGGGTGCCTGGGCTAAATTGCCAAGGAAGACGAGGTGTCAAGCAGCTGAACAAGGTACAAGGATAACGCTTTCTAAGGTAGAGAATGCAGAGGGGAGATCCATCTTATTGGTGATGGGGGAAGGGTCTTTAATGCCACCTTAAGGAATTGGGACTTTATCCTAGGGGACTGGGGGCTTCTGGTTCAGAGGGATTGGCGTGATTGCTTAAATCCCTCTGGCTGAAATGTGGAGAATGTACTGGAAAGAGGTACAGGAATGAAAACAGAACATGATCAAGAAGCTGCATGCTGCCTCAACAAAGAGATGATGTTGGCCTGAGTGAAGGCAGGAGCACTGGGGACAAAAGAGAACAGCTTCAGGAGGGGCTGGGAGAATGGGTATGAACTGGTCATTGCTTGGCTGCAGAGGGGGTGAGAGGGATTGAGAATGGTGGTTTGACAGTGCCTGGTATTTGGAGGCTAATATGAAATAATAAAGATAAAGACTGATTGAAGACAACACCTTCACTGAAATCGGTCCCTACCTGGCTGATGATCCTTGCACACCTGGGAAACATGGGACTTGGGTTATCAATTCTGCATGGTTGCTTCCATGGAGATGGAGCTCCTTGTGGACTTAAGGTTTTTTCAGCCTTTTGTTTCATTTTCCTATTCTTGATTCCCATACTGTCCTTTTGGGCATGTGTAGAATTTAAGGAAAATTCCTTCAGCAGAGGCAGGCGGAAGTGCTGAACTTGTTCTCTGTATGTTACATGTGAACTGAGATGAAATTCAAACCTTGCTCCTTCGGCTCTTCCTTTCTTCCACAGTGTTCTCAAAACTGTACTTCTCATCTAAATATGGTCCCCTTTTTCCTTATGCTTCAGGAACCAATTGATGTCTAAATATAGTGGTAGTCTTGTGATTTTAAATACTTCAAGGACCCACATGGGTGGTAATGGTGGTAGCAAACTGGCAAAAGAGCCCTGGTCACTCCTGTTTGAGGAACTTCACTTTCATCAACTTCATACATTGGGATTCCATGTATGATTTCCTTCATAAAGGTTTCAAAGCTTAAAAAAATTCAAAGCTAAGAATCTTTGAACAAATAAAATATGCTATTGTAGGTAGGAAAATGAGGTTCGGAGAGAATACAAGAGTAGATAATTAGAGCCCAGTTTCTTAACTTCTGCGTTGGTGATACTGCAATTTTACAATGTGAGCCTATTTAGACAGTCTCTTGGAGAAAGTGGCTCCTGAAATACAGGCTGGTTTTTGGTTAAGTAGAGAGAACTGATCTCAAGTTCTAGGAGGCTTACCTGGGAGGCATCACTGTCTTCACACTTGATCCGACACTCGCTGTTGAACTGGAAGCCATTAGTGCACTGGTAGAGCCCATGGAATTTTGGTGGAGGTGGGTCACAGGTCACAGGAACACAAGCTGCCTCCTGCCAGCTGCCATCATGGGTACACTGAGTCTTGAAGGCCCGTCTTCAAAGAAAGGATCAAAGAGGAGACATCTCTAGGATCGAATGGCTAGACCCACGCCCTGCATAAACACCACCAGCTGCCTCCCCCATTTCCTATCTCCTATCTCCTATTTTTGATTTCCCACCTGACCTATTGAATGGCGGTTGGGCCTGTGTAGGGATTAAGGAGAATTCATCCACAGAACTCCTTTAGCAGGAGGAGGCAGAAATGTCATGCTTCCAGTTATATGTGAACTGAGATAAAAACTCGTGTGCTTCCAGCCCCTGGTTCTCTCCCCTTTTTTACAGAGTGTTCTGATGGGTGCCAGCAGCATGATGCTATGAATACCCACCATTTACTGAACAACTATTATGTGCAAAGCACTTTGTGAGCACTTCACGTGCACATCTTTATTTGTTCTTCACAACAACCTTTTGTGGTAATTGTTATTATCATACCCCTCTTATTGCTTTTTTTTTTTTTAAAGGAAGCCCAGAGAAGTCAAGTCACTTCTGAGATCACATAGCCATTAGGCAGCCAAGCTGAAACTTAAAGTTTATTCTGTTTGACCCAAAGCTAATATTATTAACACATCCTTCTAGCTTCTCACAGAACAGAATAGGATGAATGGCAAGCATTGCCTCTAGTGAAGAATGAGTGGTTCCATCCAGTCAGGCATTTGAACCTAACTCTTGTCCTCCCCAGAGGCCATAAGTCTGCATTCCAACCCCACTTACTTCTTTGACTTCCGAGAGGATCCAGGCACATGGTATCCCGGTTTGCATTTGTATTTGCAGAAGGAGCCCACCTTGTGCTTATTCTCTCTGCACCGGGGTGTCTGGAGTTCTGCATTGGGCACGGGGGGTGGAGCGAGGCACATGAGGTCACACAGGGCCTCTGGGAAGGACCACAGTCCATCCTCCATGCAGGTCAGGAGGCTGTTGTTGCCTGGAGAACAGAGGCAAGCAGCGTTAGAGGAGGGAGGAGTCTCTGACAGATAAGCTAATGCATAGCTGCTTGGATTTTAGCTGACTTGAAGAACCAGGAGATCCCTTATATGGAATTCCAACCCCTTCTGCTTCCAGCCGAGGAACCTAGGGGGATGAAGAGATCTAAATGGGGTGGGAGGGGTGAATTACCCCCATGTCTACAGTGAATTAAAATCCAAGGCTTCTGACTTCTGATCCTGAGCCTCTTCTGCTGCATAGAAGAGACACCTTCGCAATCCTGGAATCCATCTTTCTTGCTTTACAAATGGGCATCTGAGCACAGAGATGGAGGTACTTGCCTTCCAGTAGTTGGCAGCAAAAGCTCCTACCAGAAACTACAGCAAGCTCTGATATCAGTGAGTGTATGACCTCGAGCTGTCACTCTCCCCCTGGGCCCAGCATGCCTGTGTCTGTCCTGCCTACCACCTCCCCCAGCTCCCACCACCAATGCCTGGAAGTGACAGTATCGTGCTATCAGGAGATTTGATTTTCTGTTCAGGTCCTGGTGCTCAGTGAAGCTTTGCCAGAGCAGCTGAAAGAGCAGCACTTGCCCTGTAACCTGTGCCAGCTCTGACAGAGTGCTGACTGCCATCGGGAAGCTGGTCTGATGGGGAACGTTGCAAATAAAAGTAAAACATGGGAGTTGGGCTTTTCACTGCCAGCTCATATATTATGGACACACAGCCTGCCTAAAACCTCCCCAAGACGACTAGAGGAGGAACTGAAACTCTCTTCTTCCTGGTTATTACTGAATGGCATTGACGATCAAGACTGGAAACATGTGGGAGGCTCAGGACTTGCAGGTTAGAGGGGTGGAGTGGTAGGGAGAAAACTGACATTTACGGAGTACTTGCTATGTACCAAGTGCTTCTGATATGCAATCTCATTTAGTCCCATAATAAACAGGGTATCTAGTATGGCAGTCCTCGTTTGGAAATGAAGACTCAGAGAAAGAGGTGACTTGACCAAGTTCTCTTACTTGGCAAAAGACCAAAACTGAGGTTCAAAACAAATTCTAACTAGAGAGATGGTTGTTTTGATGGGAAGTCGGCTACAGGTGATCAGCAAAGTGCTTATTGTTCTTTCTGGAAGCATCAAGCTTCAGTTTTCCTATCAGTGGAAAGCAAACAATCGCTTCTGCATTTTAGGGTGCTGAGAACATGAAATGAAGCATTTATGAAAAGGGTCCGCAAAAGTGGTGTCAATGTCTTTGTCTGTTTAACTTCTTCCCTTTTGCCCTCCTTTTCTTCACTTCTCTGCTTCCTCTCACTTTCCTCCTTCTTTTCACCTTCATTAGTAGCTCTGAAAGAATCATCACAGAAATCTTCATTGATTCGACAAACATTATTCAGTGCTTATTCCGCACCAGATGCTTTTATATGTTGAAGGCAGAACAGTGAACAAAATAAAATAAAACAAAATAGAAATATCTCTGCTTTCTTGGAGCTTATAATCTAGTGGGACAGGGAGGAGTACAATAAGTTATCCTAAAAAGAATTATTACTTGGTGTGCTGGACGGTGCCAAGTACTATGAAGAAAAAGCAGGAAAAGAAAGGGGGGCTGGGCGTGGTGGTTCACGCCTGTAATCCCAGCACTTTGGGAGGCCGAGGCGGGTGGATCACGAGGTCAAGATATCGAGACCATCCTGGTCAACATGGTGAAACCCCGTCTCTACTAAAAATACAAAAAATCAGCTGGGCGTGGTGGCGCGTGCCTGTAATCCCAGCTACTCAGGAGGCTGAGGCAGGAGAATTGCCTGAACCCAGGAGGTGGAGGTTGCGGTGAGCCGAGATCGCGCCATTGCACTCCAGCCTGGGTAACAAGGGCGAAACTCCATCTCAAAAAAAAAAAGAAAGAAAGAAAGAAAGAAAAAGAAAAAAAAGAAATAGAAAAGAAAAGAAAGAAAGGGGAGAAGAGAGTACTTTGCAATTTTATGCAGGCTCCTCCACTTATCCTATTCCTTCTCATTTTTTTTTTTTTTCATTTTTCTTCTTTGTCAGTATGATTCATGTGGCTAGCACAGGAAGACTGGTGTCTGTAAACCCCATAGGGGATTCCACATTGATAAACTGTGATACTGACAACTATAAGTATTTTAACATCAAGTAAAAACAGTAAAGTGTGCGGAAAGGTGATTAATTTGTTTTCCATAGAAGCATAGAAGCATCCAGAATACCAGGGTCTACAAACTTCTTTTTGCGTTACCCTTGTAATGGGGGCAGTCATTGCTTTGGGGTGCCAAGGTAAAGCACAAGGTTAGTGGGGAGGGGAGCTGTATAAATGGTACAGGAAGCACATTCTCTCCAAATTGCCCAAGAGAGATAAAAGATCTGTGGAAAGGTGTTGGGACTCTAAAAAAGTACATTATATCAGCTATGTACACTGTAAATTATTAAGTGAAAGTCATGGTTCTTCTGCGACAAGAGAACATAAAAACTGCAAAATGTTAGTCAAGAGAGAAAATGCAAACCAGAAAAGTGATTTCTGGAAGAGGGTAAATAAAAGTTAGCAGTGTACTACAGCTAAAGCAGGCACTGGCAATTCAGGACCATGGATATGTCCCCCAACCCCCGGCAACGAACTCCAAGAACTTTCAACCGTGCATTATCTCTGTGCAGCAGCTGTAGCCACTACCCTGCATCTACCATGTGGCTTTGAAGAGAGCAGGATATGATACATGATATTGAGCCCTTCCGTTGTCTTCTTGGCTCTGGCCTGTATGCTGTGAAAGATGCTTACTGCACTGCCAACTCTCTGCCTGAGGCTTATTAAACTGGTCATGGATGCTTAGTCTGTCCATATGCAGGGCAAGTTTAAAGTACCAAGGAGTTAATGCCCCTGGAGGCAGCACTAAACCAGTGGTGGAGTTACTAGATTCATGTGCCCATTTCCAGAGTTGCAATAACTCTGAGGCATGTTCTCCACTGTCTTCCAGAGTTTCCTGGAGGGACTGAGCTCTAGCTGTCCACAGTGGCAACTGACCTTAGAAGAGAGCCTGTTAACTTTTGTTAATTCCATGTCACTGTATTTCCTGGAGGAACATGACTCAAGACACAAAGTAAAGGCATGTCTCAACCTGAAGCTCCTGGCAGAAGGTAACATCTCCTGGTAGAGGTGCTAATATTAGAGATTAGGTTCCAACAAGTTTTGGGACCTTGTAAGTTCACTTGTTTATCTCTTAATGCAAAAAATACATCCCGCTCAGCCTGTCTACAAATGTGGCTAAGGAAATTCCAATCTCCAATGAGCATTAAAGAATGTCAACTTGTAGCAGTGTCAAAACAGATGTACTTATTTTTATTATTTCATTTGAAAGATTACCCAGAAGACTAAGTCTCTTTGGGAGTACCTTAAAGATTGACATTAACATAGAACAGAACCCAAGGAGAGAAATGTCCTACCTTCAACCCGGTATTCTAAGCAGTTGCCTCGTGGTAGTGGCACTTTCTAGATCATAGGCAAGGGCTGTATCTTGTACATTCTCTACTCCCAGAGCCTAGCCTACTGCTGAGTACACAGCAGGTCCTCAGTATTCATTTGTTGAATGCACAAAGTATGAATTTAGCTGTGACCTTGAACAACTCACCTAACCTGTTTGTCCCTGCACCAAAGCTGTCTGTGAGTTCTTGACCATCTCTAGCATGTTAGAATGTGACAGAATATTGTTTGGAGAAAACAAAAATGCACTAGCTGAACTGGAATAAGGACAAGCACTCAATCAAGAGGCTGCATTAGCCAAGGGCTGGTACAGGGAGATTGCAAGGAATAGAGAAGTTGACTTGGTAAGGGGTAGACTTAACAGAAGTTACAGAGGAAGAAGACAGATTAAGAAAGACAAGAGGTGCAAAGAGAGGGCCAGTTAGGGCAAAAACTGAAGGCAGAAAGGATTTCAGGTTGGTCATTATTATCATTATTATTTATTCACTGTTTAGAATTAGTGCTTTTATTATTTACAATAGCAAAGACATGGAATCCACCTAAATGCCTATCAATGATAGGCTGGATAAAGATAATGTGGTATATATACACCATGGAATACTATGTGGCCATAAAAAAGATGAGATCATATCCTTTGTAAGAACATGAATGGAGCTGGAGGCCATTATCCTTAGCAAAGTAGTGCAGGAGCAAAAAAAAAAGAAATACCTCTTCTTCTCACTTATAAGTGAGAGCTAAATAACAAGAACACATGGACACACAGAGGAGAAGAACAGGCCCCGGGGCCTATCACAGGGAGGAAGGTGGGAGGAGGTGGAAGATCAGGAAAAATGGTTAATGGGTATTAAGGCAGATTTAATACCTGGGTGATAAAATAATCTGCACAATGAAGCTCCATGACACAAATTTACCTATATATCAAACCTGAACATGTACTCCTAAACTTAAAATAAAAGTTTTTTAAAAAAACTATTGTTCTTTTTCAGAAAACCAAACACCGCATGCTCTCACTCATAAGTGGGTGCTGATCAATGAGAACACATGGACACAGGGAGGGGAACATCACACCCCAGGGCCTGTTGGGGGTGGAGTGGGGGGAGCTGGGGGGAGATAGCAGGGGGTGGGAGGATGGGGTGGGAGGACTGGGGAGGGATAGCATTAGGAGAAATGCCTAATGTAGATGACAGGGTGATGGATGCAGCAAACCACCATAGCATGTGTATATCTATGTAACAAACCTGCACATTCTGCACATATACCCCAGAACCTCAAGTATAATTAAAAAAAAAACAAAACAACTATTGTTCTTTTTGCTTAAACCGTGTTATGATAAAAGGAAAAACAAAAGGTGGAAAGAAGGAAAGGGAAGCAAGCAAAAGAACAAAGTTGAAATTGATCACCTCTTTAATCCCCTAGCTTGTGATGGGGGTGGGTGGGCGAATTAGGTGGCAATGTCAAGTTCAAGAGAAAGGCCCAGTTGTTGCTGTTAGTAGATCCAAGCAGACGCCTTAGCACAGGGCTCTGAACACTAGATGATGCGGCAATGTCAAGTTCAAGAGAAAGGCCCAGTTGTTGCTGTTAGTAGATCCAAGCAGACGCCTTAGCACAGGGCTCTGAACACTAGATGATGCTGACAACCAAGTTGCATGAAACGGCAATTGGTCCTAGCTGATCGATACTGAACCAGAGAGCTATTTCCCTGTACGGTCAAGGGAAAAGCAAAGTTGGGATCGCCAAACTTCAAAATGATGGTCCTCCTAAGGCCTTGTCTCCACAGCCAGGTCACTCTTCCCCAACCACAGCTGGCAGTGGAAGGAGCTGTATAGTTTTGATTAAGCATTATTATTATTAGCCACAATGAGGGCTATAATAATCAATGCTAATGTATACACCTCCCTTTCCCAAAGGCCTCTGATTAAGAGAAGTGTGATTTCATAGTCTAGAGTTAATACATTCCACATCTAGTCCCAGCATTCTAGGACACTCAGGCCAGCTACTCACCTTTCCCTAAAATGTGACCTGTTATCCGATATGCCAGACCCATTCCCCTCAATAGCCCCGATGCCTCGCTCAGGAGGATGCCAGATGCTGCCTGTCCATATCTGCTCTTCTCTGCCCAGCTGGCCCCTCTTAACAAGTAGCAACCAGTACTGGAGAAAGACAGACCTGGGTTTCAATGTGGTCTCCACCACTGATGGTGCAGCCTTGGGCAAGTTCTTTTTCTTTTTTGAGACAGAGTCTTGCTCTGTTGCCCAGGCTGGAGTGCAGTGGCACAATCTTGGTTCACTGCAACCTCTGCCTCCTGAGTTTGAGTGATTTTCCTGCCTTAGCCTCCCCAGTAGCTGGGACTATAGGTACATGCCAACATGCCTGGCTAATTGTTTGTATTTTTAGTAGAGAGGAGGTTTCACCGTGTTAGCCAGGATGGTCTCGATCTCCTCACCTCATGATCCATCAGCCTTTGCCTCCCAAAGTGCTAGGATTATAGGTGTGAGCCATCATGCAAGTTCTAAACCCTCTAAGGCTTGGTTTCTTCATCTGTGAAATGGGAATAATAGTAACACTTACCTCATAAGGCTTACTGGCCCTAATCATACAGAGTGAATTAGTTGCATCAGCCCCAAATGAAACTCTTTTTTTTTCCTCTTCCTTCTTCCCTCCCTCCTTCACTTCTATTCTCTTTCTTTTCTTTTTTTTGCAAGATTTCCAAGGTCTTAGAAAGGGCTTCACTGTCATGATTATCCACACTCTAGTTTTTCTTTCTTATCTCTACAGCAGGGCAGTTTACATAAATACAATTGGTGGGAAGAAGTCAGGAGCATAGATTAAACTCCATCCCACCCTTGGTGTTTGAGAGCCAGAAAGAGGGCCTGGGTGCAGGTTTCCCACAGACAAAGGGGGGTTGAGCTGGGGAAGGGGCTCAAGATACCTTTCAGTTGTGCAGGATAACGACACTGGAAGGAACAATTACTGCCGAAGGTGGTGCCCTCGGGACAGGAGAAGGAGGCGGCGTAGATGTGATGGTGGTCTGGGAAGCCGCAGTCCACTGGCTCACAGGCCACCTGCTTATTCCACTTGCCCTCTGTACAGGTCACTGTGACGCTGGGTCCCATCTGAAAGGCAGAGGCGTGCATAGTGAGGAGTGGCAGACCGAGCCCTAAATGTGGAGACATACCCTTCTTCAGGTGACAGCTCAGAGTCCCGTCCAGGCACCAGGAGACCAATGCTTAGTGCTTCACATTAGCTCACTTGTAATGATTTCAATACCTGCATGAATGAGATATCCCAGTTTTCATTTAAAGAGACAGAGACTGAGACCGAGAGACATTACATGATCACCCTTATGTTAACCAGCTGGAAAGAGGATGAGCTGGACGTGAGTCCAAAGGCTCTGCTCTTAACTGCTGTTTACAGAGTCTTCCAGATCACAATTTCCATTTTATTGATGAGAATCTTGAGGTTTTGAGACCTCACAGGGCAGGACGACTTCTTTCACAGACTGAAATACATTTCAATGGTAGGACGTCAAGTGTTGATTTTTGTGTCTTTTCTTAGCCTAGAGGAGTTACTAAGAACCTGTTATCGTGCTTGGCACACAGTAGGCACTCTCCATGGATACAGGAGACCTGGATGCTTTTCCTCCATGTTACCAGACCACAGGCAAGTCCCTTTCCTTACTTAAGTTCTCTCTTTGGCAAAATGAATGGATTGAACTCAAGAACTGCTCCAAGATTCACTCCCTACTCTGAGTTTTGGTGGCTCAATAGTCAAGAGAGAAAAGTACAAAGACAGAAAAAAGCCTAGGAAAAATGAAAGAGTACGTGGAGATTTTAACCAAACTACAAGATGGCGGAGCTGGTGGAGGGCAAGGCCAAGCCTCACAGCCAAGCGATGGACAATCACGGCAGCCTGGAGGCTTCCGAGGGACTGGAGTTGCCAAATGCTGATTTTTTTTTTTTTTTTTTGAGACAGAGTTGCGCTCTTGTTACCCAGGCTGGAGTGCAATGGCGCGATCTCGGCTCATCGCAACCTCCGCCTCCTGGGTTCAGGCAATTCTCCTGCCTCAGCCTCCTGAATAGCTGGGATGACAGGCACGTGCCACCATGCCCAGCTAATTTTTTGTATTTTTAGTAGAGACGGGGTTTCACCATGTTGACCAGGATGGTCTCGATCTCTTGACCTCGTGATCCATCTGCCTCGGCCTCCCAAAGTGCTGGGATTACAGGCTTGAGCCACCGCGCCCGGCCAAAATGCTGATCTTTTAAAAGCAAAGGACATTTTCCCTCTTAAGCACACATCAAAGGGATGTGTGCTTGAGTGAGGTCCTTCACTGCCAAAACAGTCGAATTGTTTCTATAGGAGTTTAGGCCTGCCACATCTGACACACGGAAGTAGGTGTCTAAGACAAGGAAGTCCAGGAGTTCTGTACAAACAGGCGCTCCCAGCAACAAGGAATGTGTCTTGTGTGCCTACAGTTTGAAGGAAAAATCCATTGGCCAGCCCACGAAAAGGCTACATTTAGTGGCAGAAATCCTCAAATCCCAGGACCACGTGTGCCACTCCCCCATGCCCCACCTGAGATGTTACAGCACCACTTGGCTGAAGCAACCTTCTTCCACATCACTCCAAATCATTCACCACCACTAATCTCATGCAGGACGCATCCTGTCGTCCACGACCCCTCTGATGACTGTCCAAGGGGGTCTCCCTGCTATCATTCTTACTGCCGGACTCCAAGCTACGCCCACATGGGTATCTATAAGAGACTTTGCCAACCAGGATGTGCTCATGTCACTGCCTGCAACAGCTCCCTGTTGTCCTAAAGATAAACCCCACACTTTCTGACTAAGCTGACCGGGCCCTGCACCAGTGGATCCAGCCAGCCCTTCCAGCCTCATTGCTTGGGTAAGTATAGAAAAAGAAAACAAATCAAACAAAAACATCTGTGACACTTTCATCATCAGTGCGATTCCACATTTGTCTGTGCCCAGTGCATATATTTCTTCCTTCTCCTCAACACACACCCCTTTGCTGATCTGTCTAGTTATCTGTTTCCATGTCGCTTTTTCCAAGGTACCTCCCTTGAATCTCCCTGTGCCTCCACAACACCCTGCACTTCCCTTGATGGACAGCCTTTATCACACAGTGGAGCTGTTATTAATGAGGTGTTTGACTACCTCCACCACTAGGCACTTAGCTCTTTCAGAGGAGGGACTCGATTTATCTTAATGGCTTCTCTTTTTTTGAGATGGAGTCTTGCTCTGTCGCCAGGGTGGAGTGCATGATCTCGGCTCACCGCCTCCTGGATTTAAGTGATTCTCCTGCCTCAGCCTCCCAAGTAGCAGGAATTACAGGCACATGCCATCATGCCCAGCTAATTTTTGTGTTTTTAGTAGAGACAGGTTTTCATCATGTTGGTTAGGATGGTCTTGATCTCCTGACTTCGTCATCTGCCTGCCTTGGCCTCCCAAAGTGCTAGGATTACAGGCATGAGCCACTGCACCAAGCCAATGGCTTCTTTTTCTTTAGCACCTAGTATAGCATCCAATTTCCTGTGAACAGATGCTTTGCAGTGAATTAGTGAGTGAATGAACATCTCACTGACAGACAGCTCATCTCGTCCTAAAGCAGCCCATTCAGTTTTGTCAGAGATCTGATTGTAAGACATTCATTCCAAAATACTCAGCCCCATGGTCTTGGAGATTTGCAACCTAAACAAAAACACTGGTAAGTATTGTGTGGAACACTACTCTGCACACGATCCCATTTTCTTAGAGATTCCAGACTGCTTGCTTGGTTAATTGATTCACTCACTCATTCATTTAATCAACAAATATTTATTGAGCACCTACTATGTAGCAGCACTATTTTAAGTGCTGCTGGGTATTTAGCAGACAACATGTTCAACACCCAGTAAGCCTTCCCTGGGCGGCAGAGAGACTCTGAGCTCAGCACCTGTGCATACCTGGCTCTTGATCAGCTCATCATCCCGCCGTATCTGGAGCATGTAGCCTGTCCAGCAGCTCACAGTACACTGGGTGCTATGGTAGCGGTCGCTGCTAGAGCAATTCAGAGAAGCATTCTCCACAGCCAGCTCTGGGCAGTCAGTGTTCTCACATGCAAAGTGCACGCAGCTGGGGAGGAAAGAAAGAAGAGGGGAAGAAGGAGTCTCTTCAGAGGACAGCCACACTCCAGTTGGAAGATAAAGGCTACAAAGCCTCTTTCTCCAAGATTTCAGGGGGCTTGAGACTGAGGACAGAAAGGGATGCTGGCTGAGCTGAAGATGACTCTAGAGACAGTGATTAAAGTTTCTCATTAAGAGCACAAGTTACAGCAACAGACACACCAGAGTTCAAATCTTGCCACTTAAAAGCTTTGTATGTTATCAAGATTTAAACCTTGTGCAACCTCTGTGTTTCCATTTGTGAGAAGGGGGTCATCACGATTACAGTGAATATTTATTGTGTTTTTCTGCCAGGCACAAAGTTGAGCAAAAGCCTTTTTGTATTTTACAAGAATCATTTTGAGAATTAAATCAGAAAAAAAAAATGCATAGTAGCACTCCTGGAACATACTAAGCAGTCAATAAGAGGTAGCTGCTGTTATAAACACACCTACGCTCTATTACCTAGTTGGCAAGGTACATCACATCTCTGAGCTTCAGTATGCTCTCAAATTTGGGCAACCTCATACAGCCTCAAGACTCAACTGAGGTGATGGATGTAGAAGACTTTTATGCTGTAAAGTAACTTACAAATCATTAATGGAGTTGTCCAGAGACTATGCCTCGCACCTTGCTGCAACTCTGAATTCTTCCTTTCTGTCAGTTTGAATTCCATCCACTCTTTAGGTCCAAGCATCATGAAAACTTCTATAGAAAGCTTTCCCTTGTGTCCCTCAGCAAGCACCCTCATGGGCATTCTACCCCTCTTTCCCCAATGCCATTGCCTCATGTTTGATGTATTAAAAACTCAGTTCCTCGTTGCTGGTGGAACATACCAGATTGCAGGGCAATTTTTAAGGATGCAAATAGAAACAGCATAATATCCTCATGCTTGGATGATCATTCCCCTTGTATTATAGGTAGGCAAGCACTCAATAACATTAGTTAATATTAGCTGATTGCTTACATACATGAGCTCACTCCATCCCTACAACAACCCTATGAGCTAAGTGTTACTCATTTTACAGTTGAATAAATTGGGGACTGGCAAGATTAAGTTACTTGTTTAAGTGCCCATCTAGATGGGTGACTCCGAAGGCCTCGTTATTAACCTCGTCCCATGTTTCTGAACTAGAACGTCCATGAGGGCAGAGATAATGCCTATTTCATGTTGGTGTACTGTGCAGTGCCAAGAAAAATGCTTTGCAGATGATTCCTAAATAGCAGAAAACAAATGGTGACGGTGCCTTGCAATAACTCTTAAACACCTTACAGAGGTTGATTCTGTCTAACACTAAGAACTTCTAGGGGGCAGTTTTCTCTAACATCTGCCTCTCTGACTGTGTCTACCCCCAACACGTGGCCTACAGTATGCACAGATTTGCATTTAGAACCTCAAGGCTTTTATGTTTCTGTTTTTAATCTAGGAGACAGGGAGATATTTTGGCCAAACCAGTGTCAGAAAGGTTTGCAAGTTTTTTTTCCTCTCTCTCAGTTTCATGATACCCAACTGAGGGTTTTACTGAGACCTTATTCCTATTCTCTACCCACTACTCAAAAGTATAGTGAGAAGCAGAGTCTGGGGAGGTAGGGAGCTACAAGCCTCCAAACCATATCACAAGCCAATTTACTTTTTTAAGTACCCAGAAAAGAACGAGCATTTAATTTAGATCTCAGACTCTCACTGATGGGAGCTTTGCAATTCTCCAATACCCTCCTGAGATGCAGGGCAACTGGCATTAAGGAACACTTGTTGAGACACTCCAGTTCTCTGCCCTTTTTCTTTCTCCTGACAGCCTCAGCCTTGTACCATGTGGAGACCTCAAAGAGGCTGTAGCTGTGGAGTCAACACAAGGGCTTTGACACCAAACAATGCATCTGCTCACATTGTGTAAGCACCAGGGGAAGGAACCGCATGGTTCCAATTTAAATAGATTCACTCTGTAAGCTACTAGCTCCCAAGCTGTTCTTCTGACCTGTGCCTAACAGTCTGGGCATTCTTACTCTGCACTCCCAGAAGGTACCTGGGCTCTTATGAAGACCCAGAGGGAAAGATGACTTCCTTCTTTAAGTTGCAGAGCCATTGCAGGCGTCCCCAAACTTTCTACACAGGGGGCCAGTTCACTGTCCCTCAGACCGTTGGAGGGCCGCCACATACTGTGCTCCTCCCACTGACCACCAATGAAAGAGGTGCCCCTTCCTGAAGTGCGGCGGCGGGCCGGATAAATGGCCTCAGGGGGCCACATGCGGCCCGCGGGCTAGTTTGGGGACGCCTGCATTAAAGCATAAACAGTGCCCTCCCTGATTACTTTGTGCACATTAAAGTTCTTCATAGAAAATGAAAATCTGAAATGCTTCATTTTCTGAGGTAGAAGGAGCACAAGGCATATCAACCAGGGAAATCTGGGCTGCAGCCCCAGCTCTGCCATTTATCAGTTGTTTGACCTTGGAAATTTATGTAACATCCTGAACCTCAGTTGCCTTATCTGTAAAGTGGAAATAAAAAAATAATTTATTTATTAGGATTGTCAAGAGGGTGCAACACCATTCACTCATTCATCTATTCAACAGACCTTCCCTGGGGGCCTTACGGAGCACCGGGCATTGTTCCATACACGGGGAACATGGTGACGGAGGGGATAAACAAGATGCCTGTTATCCTGTATATTTCAGGAGAGAGGATATGTGCCAAAAAAAGTAATAAATGAGATCATTTGAGATAACGACACATGCAGTTAGGGCATTAAACCAAAGTGAAATTATAGAGAGTGACAGCTGGTGGGGAGGGGCAAGGCACTTTGCATAGAAGGATCCATGAAGAAGAGACATCTGAACTACTACCTGGATAAAATGAAGGGATAAGCCATACACAGGTTTGGGACAGAGGCAGAACCAGGCAGAGGGAAGAGCAGGTACAAAATTACAGCACAGGTCGGAGTTTGGTGTGTTTATAGACTAGAAAGGCCAATGTATGGGAAATGCTTGGAGGTCAGGCACGGTGGCTCACACCTGTAACCCCAGCACTTTAGGAGGCCGAGCTGGGAAGATCACTTGAGGTCAGGAGTTCAAGACCAGCCTGGCCACCATGGTGAAGCCCCATCTCTACTAAAAATAAAAGGAAATAGCTGCGAATGGTGGTACACACCTATAATCCCAGCTACATGGGAGGCTAAGGCATGAGAATCACTTGAACCTGGGAGGCAGGGATTGCAGGGAGACAAGATCGTACCACTGCACTTTTGGGAACTACAAAACTCCTTGAGAAGATGGGTCTCTCTACTCTGTCTCTTTTTGCTATAAAAGGAAAAATAGTCCCTGATCTCATGTGTCACCTGACCAAAAGATTTCATGGTCACATGAGTAAGGATAGCATTGAGTTTATGAAACCAGTTAGTTTTCTTAGTCGCAGGACTTCTCAATACTTTGGATAACCCATTGAGAATTTCCAGAAGGGGCCAAGGTACACACTATTTTTTAAACTCTGATAACCTTTTCTTCATGGGACATTTCTTAGGCCTTCTAGAATATGCTTCGGGGATTGAGGCATCCTGCTTGTTCAGCACATCTGTCTGCACCTGGCCCGCAGCTTGAAAACAGGAAGAAAAGGGATAAGGGAGGTGATCTGTGTTAGGCATTGGCCGCCGTGTTTCACCTACGTCACCTTATTTGCATTCTACACAGCAGCTCCTGGAGGTAGTGATATTATTCCCATTTTCAAGAACAGGAAACTGGAACTAAGAGTTTTAAATTGCTTGCCCAAGGGCACTCAGCTTGGACAGGATTCCAATGGGGATCTGCCAGTCTGTCCCCAAGTCCCTGCTCTTTTTTCTTTGCTCTCCTGTTGGTTGGAAAAGGTTGTGTGAACACACTGTCCAAAAACGATAAACATTACCCTGACTGACCCTCTCAAATCACTCTGTGACACAGCCCTGTCATTTCTGAAACACAAAAACAAAAAGCAAAACAAGGAAAACAAAGAAAAGGCTCTGCTGCTTCGTAAAAAAAAAAAAAAAAAAAAAAAAAAAAAAAAAAAAAAAATGAGGGAAGGATTGAACAGCGGTGACGGGCAATAAATAAAAATAACGTAAGAAGGAGAAAATGAAGACACTTCTCTGAAGGAAGAAAGGTAGCTGATTTGACGGACGAGTGGGAAGGGATGCAGAAAATTCTATAGATCAAATAGGCACATCTGGGCAAAAGTGGAGGTCCCTGGGGTCCAGAGCTAATTAGATACTTCAATATCTTTTTTCTTTTCTTCTTATCTATATTTTTCATGTATTTACGTACGGACTCAAATTCCATATACAGGTAAAACATTACCTGATCCAATAGCTAATCCCCCATTGCTGTCTCCATTGTCAATAAGGATGGTCTCCAGTCATGCATGAGACAAGATATCTGGAGAGTGCTGGAACCCGGATAAAGCCAGAAGTTAGTGCTGACAAGCATTCCTCTCCTGGTTCTGTTCCTTGACTCACAGTGTAACTGCTGTGCCCTGCCACTTAGCTGCAATTATGCCATGGGGAAGCAGAGATCGTAACAGAAAGGCTGTTTATAAATTATTCTGGGCTGCTCACATGAGGATAAAAAAGACAAGTGCTCCACACCGGAAAATGGAGGGAAAACTGTTCTTGGCATCAGTTCTGCAAGACCACTTAGGAAGTGAAACTAAGAAAGAGCTACTATTCTAGGACCCCATTTTTGTACCCAGAAATATGGCAACTGGGGGAATGATCCTAACAGGTTCCTTACCTTGGATTTCTAGGAGCCAGTATTGTGGTGTGGTAAGACGGCAAGATTTTGAAGATTAAATGATGCAAGCTCAGTGGCCTGCAGAGTTCAGGCGAGTGGGGTGTGCTGAGGAGAGGGGATGTGCCTGGCCAAAGAGCAGAGTGCTTTGCTCCAGTCCAAGGTTGCCTAGTGGGATGGAGGGCCTGATGTTTTCAAAGCTTCTCATTTCTTTAAAGAGTTCCAAGAAGTATTATGTTTTTTAATATGAACTCTCCTGATATTTAAATGTTGGCAACTAATTAAAGGAGATAACTAATAAAGGCCAAAGCGACATTGTTTATGGACTAATATGGTCTGGTGAACACGAGTATTGGAACCTCTGACGAAGAGGAAAGATAACTGGATTCCTGGGAACTAGATTCCAGTGCTGGTTTTGTCCCCAACTTGGGTGACTTTAGGAGAGTAACTTCCCTTCCTTAGACCTTAGATTTCCCATCCTCCAATTAGGGCACAGAACCGGAACTCTGAGAGCCCTCCCCAGCTTCAGGCCTCATGATTTTATGAGAACAAAACAACAGAGCTCTATAATTTCAGAACCCTTTGAAATGAGAAAAATAGGCAAAAGGAGTCTTTGGCAATCTCGAGCATTGCCAAGAATACGGAGTAACTAGAACTCTGGTGGGTCACTGACGGGGCTGTGAATTGGACAATATTTTGGAGAAGGGTCAGGCAGTATTCAGTACAGTCAAAGACACACATATGCTTAGTCACAGCAGTTCCATTTGCAGTTATATTCCCCAGACTAGGGATTCCCAACCAATGTGCTGAGAGGCACTAATTCCTTTGTGGGTTGGGGAAGCAGGATGAGATTGTGGCAGTGATCTGAGAAATCTGTGGTCTCTGGCCAAGAGCAGCTTCATTCTGTGTTTCAAATCCTATCTATGAATCCCTATATCATCACCTAATGGGATATTCCACACACAGGGTCTCATCAGGGCACAGACTCTAGAAATGCTTGGCTCCAGTCTTTGGGTACCCAGACCCCCAACCAACAAACAACACTCAAAGTTTTCCCTGGCTAAAAGAGTTAATCTAGCCATGTGAAGAACTTATTTTCCTCCCAAAGCTGGCCTTCTAAAAACTATAATGAACTGTTCAGTTTCTGTTTAGAACCACAAGGGTGGATGAACGTGATATGTATGTGTGTGTGTGTGTGTGTGTGTGTGTGTGTGTGTGTGTATGTGACAGACACTGGAGCCACAATATCACCACTGTAGCTTTTCTCGTTAAAGAAGCCTGTTCACCACCCTCCACTCCACCACTATGCTCCTCTCCCCACCTTTTCTCCTTTCCACAACTTGGTGTGGAGCTGGGATTTGACTAGAATTCCACAACTGGGCTTCTCCTTTGAAACCTAATCCTGTTTTCTTGGGTCTCTGAATTTATATCGAGTACTGCAAAGAGACCAGAGATCCCTGAAGCTAGAGTGGAATACATTGCCCAAACTGATTTTGTGGTAGTGCTCCTCCCAAGGCACCACAGTAGGCATCGCACTGCTCTCAGGAGGAGAGACAGAAAATGAGGAGGAGAAAGGAGGTAGGAGAAGCAGAGAGAGAGAGAGAGAGAGAGGAGATGGAGAGGTGGTAGAAAAGGGACTGGGGAGAGAGGGAGAGATGCAGGGAGACCAGAAAAGGCTGTGGGAGGGAGGAGAAAAGGAGAGGGGAGAAACAGTACTATTCCCTACCTGGGAGCAGCTGAGAGTCAAGTGGGCTGTTTCTGCTACGACCAGCTGAAATTTGTGCTATAAAAAGTGATGCTATTTATTTTGGTGTTTTGGGAATGATGGAAAACATCCCATGGCTCTTTACAGTTGTGGCTTATTTTTCCTTTCTTCCCTCCCTTGTTTGTTTGCTTTAATGCATTTGCATGTTTGCCGAGTCCTGCTTGTTTTGCTGAATGCCTCTTTAGCTCTCCATGAACAGCTGCTGTCCTTTCCCCACTGGGGCACTCAGGAGGAGGTGCTGCAGCCCTGCAGTCTCAGCCCTCAAGACTCAGCCTGTCCTAACCTGATCCAAGCTCAGGAACAAGTCAGCCAAAGACCTCAGAGCTGCAACTCCATCCCCTCACTCGGAGTTCCACTGAACAAATGCTCACATGGGTCCAGTTCTGAAAATTCCTCTGCTACTCATGCCTTGCTGTGGTGGGCAGAGCATGGCTTTCAGGGACAGACAAAGCAGGATTTTACCTCTTACTGCCTGGATGGTCATGACTCACTCTGTTTCTCTGAGGTATACCTCCCAGAAAAGGTGCAATAATAAAACAAGACAATGTTCCTATCTGTTGGGGATCCACAAGTGTTTGTACCTTACTGTCCTCTCTCATCTTTCCCAGCTCTTAGGAATCACAGACTGTTAAAATTGGAAAGAACCACGGAGAATCCATGCAAACCACTATCATCATTTTAAAGATGGGGAAACTGAGGCCAGAGAAGGGGATGACTAATCCGAGGTTACATAATTAGTCAGATACAGGTCAGCACTTTCCCCACTTTCAGTGTTCCTCCTACAACCAAAGAACTAACAAATGCATATTGATCGATATGTTTTAGAGGTAAAATATCGGCTACTATTTACGTAGGGCCCCGGTGCCATGCATCGAGAATTCAAACAAGTCAGTCCTGTCCTCGGTCAACGTATGTTTGATCAGGATGGCTGAATAAGAATGGGGACGTCTTGTGGAAACGATCTGATGGATTTTCATTGACATAATTTCCCCAGGCTCTGAGAATTAACTTATTTTTATAGGGTCTGGAGAACAAGGGATAAAAACATCCTTTTAGAGTGAAATATGACAACGAGTTATATTTAAGACACTCTTGCCTCCGAAAGATTGCGACAGACTTTGCACAACAGAAGCTAGAGACAGTAGGTGCTAAACAATGTGGATTTTGCAACCACCTTTTGTGTCCTCTGTGGTAACAGGGGCGTGGGAAAGGCTGGTGTCCCCCTCTTCCCTTTTCTTTTCTTGCCCCCCAGGTATGAATCGACTTCCAGAGAGCCTCACTCTTGGGGAGCCTACAGAAATCACAACTCTCTCTCCTTCTGGATCTCATTAAACAAATCTGAGAGACGCTGTGCAACTCTGCACAAGTTCTCTCCTTTCTGGGCCCTGTGATTCTACGTGGGAACACAGAAGTTTGGACATGTCTGATGCATGAGATAATCTCTGAAGCTTTTTCCAGCTCTAACTTTCAGAACTCTACACAAAATTCTGTGCAGAGAAGCAGCAGCATCATCCTCAAAAGAAGGTCATAAATATTCTCTTTTAATATGTTATATTTGCATAATGACTAACAGTTTTCATCTGCGGCACAACATTTAACCCTCACCACCACCCTGTGGAGTAGATTTTATCTGTTATTCCAAAATGGAAAACTATGACTCAGAAAACTGAAGTGACTTGACCAAGAACTCACATTTAAGAAGTGGTAATGTGGAGGTTCAAACCCAAGTAAGAGTATTCCCAAAGCTTGTATTCTTTTGGGGAAACTCCACTCCCTTGTAGCTCCAAACGGGGTGTATTAGCAGATGCCAGCTCAAAAGCACTGAGGGAGTGATATCACGCAGTCAAAAGACAGGCTCTTAGGAGGTCATAGGAGCTAGGCTTGTGGAAGACAGAGAGATTTCACCTATGCCTGATGCACATGGTGAACCAGGGTGATATAAATACCAGTCTCTATCCCCCTTGGTTAGGAGGGTTATGCCTCCCACCTGTGCCACCTAGGAAGCAGAATATTGCAGTATTTCAGAGATAAGGGAGAGCTAAACCTCTTTTTGTTCCGATGAGGACACTGAGGCTCAGAGAAGGAAACTGATGTTTCCAGGGTCACCCTGCAAGCTATTGTCAATTCTGCCACTACAAGCCAGGTGAGGAAGTTCTTTATTCACCACACAACCCTGTTTCCCTCAATTGCCCCAGGAATTCAGAGATGCATGGGCCTCTCAAGCCCAAAGGCAGAGCCGGCCAGAGGCCAGAGGATGGTTGGAGACAGGAGAAATGCACAGACTTTTTATAGCCACACACATGGCTACCCAGCTTCAAAATCACACTGTCTCCACTTGGTTACAAACGGCCTGGGACAAGTAGGCCGTGGGTCCCTTACCTCTGCTCGGCAGGGCTGTAGGTCTCCCCTCTCTCGCAGCTGCTCAGGGTTACAGGGTCAAAGTTGTCGAAGGAGCGGAGGGCCACCCCTGAGATGGCGACCAGGGGCGAACTGAAGCTCACATGGACCGCCTGGCTGTGGTAGAAGGGCTGGCTGAGGTCATGGACCACGGGGATAATCAGGGGATTGTTCCTGCAGCTCAGGACATGGAGGCCTGTCAAGGGAGACAGAGGGGCCGAGGGGCCAGGCTCATTACTCAAGTCCAATCACGCCCTCCCCAACAGGCCCTTCCCAAAGCCCCCAGACCCTTTCATGTCACCGCACAAAAGCACCATTGGGCGGTGGGTGAGGATTCTGAGTCTGATGGAAAGTTTCTTTGTCTGCCTTTTTTTCTTGGTTCCAAATCTTTCCAATGCCCCTGCCTCCCTGCCCCCTAAGCTGCCCCTTCACCTACTGCCCAAAGTCCCTCTCCCTCCCCTAGATGGCCACCCCTCAGCCAAGCAACCCAGGCTCTTGCCTCCCTTCCACATTGCTGTAGGGCTGCTCATTGGTCTGAGTTGCTGGGTTTCAGGCTGCCTGCCTGGTCAGTTGGAAAAGTGACAGAAATAATTCATAGCAACAGGCACTTCCCAGGATAAAAAGCCCACTCTCCTAAGTCATCTGTGAACCTGAAAGCAGCCCTGAGGGGGAAGGGCCTCTTGCTTAGTCTGCAGAGGAGGCTGAGGATCGTGGGCAGGGGCAGCTTTCCATAGGAGCACGGCCCAGGCATGACTCAAACTCTTAAGGAGAATCCAAGCTTGCCTCACTCAAGAGTCCTCAGTTTTTTCTAATGCAGGCAGCAGGTTTCTATTCTCCAAGAAGGAAGAGGGAGGGCCAGGGAGAAAAGATACACCAAGGGACAAAAGGAAAGAAAGGCCGTGGCCGGATGGAGTTGGCAAAACGGAAGCTGGCTTCGGCGCTGCGTGGAGCTGAGTTTAAATGCTGATGTAGCCTCTTCCTAATAATCGTACTCCAGATAGCCCCTAAAACTCAGTTTTCACATCCAAAAAATGGTATAAACCTAACTGGGTCCTGGCAGGCTTGCTCTGTAAGGAGAAGTCTTCCTTGCTGTGTAAGGAAGCCTGAAGCAGATGCCCTTCTCAGTTCCAGAGGCGAAGATGCCGCAGAATGCTGCGATACTGTGGACTGGGAAAGATGGTGATGGGGCAGGGGGTGAAGGGGAAAAACAGAAGAGCCCCAGGCATCAGTAGCAGGATCCAAAGACGGTCTGTGGAACCAGACTTTTCCCCACTCTGCTAAAAAAAAACCTCTCCTCAGAGCCCTGGGTTATGTCACAACTACAAAACTACTTGTTTCTCACTTAGGGAAATTTCCTAGGAATCCTGCTAAGTCCAGAGGGGTGTCCTTACTCTTCCTTATTCATACATTTCCCGCGCCTTAAAAACTAACTCAGTAAATAAGCATAACAACAAAACAAGAAAACCTTCCCTGTTTCCTTGGCTTTTTTCTGACCCTGAAATGACCCCTTGCCTGCTTGCTCATAAAGGTCTTTGAAAAGCACTCTCTGCAGGATGGTGTGGGCATGGCTTTAAAGTCCAGGCTTCAGTACTGGCCAAGAATTCCAAATGCTTGGAGTAGCCAGTCTGCCCAGAGCTCTCCAGGGTAGACTGGAAATGGGCAGGTGTCATAGGAAATTCTTAGCGACAACAGGAATGTCTTAGGGTCTGATTTTGTGCTAGGCATGGTTCCAACAGTGTCAAATAATAGCGCACTCCAATTCAAAGGTGGGTATCATTGTCCTTGCTGTGTAGGTGAAGCAAACGAGGCTCTAAGTGACATGCTGTGAGGACAGGAAGCTTGCTCACCTTCTCACGGTGACTGAGTGGTGGGACAGGATTCAAACCTCAGCCGTCAGCTCAGGAGTCAGGCCCTCTCCTCTGAACCGCGGTGCATGTGGGTATGCAAAGGAGTGTCGTACAAGTGACAAGTCCAGCCCTTGTTCTCCCCCTTGGCCCTGCACTCAGGCACTTGGTAGAACCTGACCGACGCCTCAAGTCCCTCCTTATTCCTACAACGTTTCTATTCCTATTCCCACTGGGAACTTCTCCAGAGGTTGTAACTGGTGATACAGTCCCCACCTGGGGTGGAGGGTTGTGAATGCTCCAAGTTATAGGGTAAAAAGCAATAGGCTATGATACTGACAACCTAAGTAGTAATTCTTGACCTACCATGTGACCTGGGGTCTCTCGGTGCCTCTCTTTGGGTGTCAGGTGCTGACACGTACAACGGGGAAATGGCTTTTACTCAGTATCGCTCCTTCTTAGGGTCTTTGGGGAATGATACGGGATGCCTGAGGTTAAAGGTGGCTGGCAGAAGGGAGTGCTTGGCCATTGGCCCCTTATCCCTGTCTCTGCCAGATCTAGATTTCTCTGGATATAAAACCACATCTTGATTTGAGGGCAACCGGAATGCCAAATAGAAAAGAGGCAAGAAAAGGGATAAAGGAAGGAAGAGCTCATTCTAAGCTGATCCTCACAACTAGTTATGGGGCAGAGGTGGAAGCAAGTACCGAGAGCAAGCCAAACCCAAGAGGGCATGCTTACCTAGATCGTGGCTCTGATCTTTGGTATCAAGCAGCTGCACACTGATGGTCTCCTGCCTTTGGTCCCCATAATATGTCCCATCTGTCACCAGGTGGACAATGACAGCCGCGGCAACCATTGGCTGAGAAAAGTATGCCTGAAATTGAGAAGACATAGGAGGGTCAGATGTGCCCTCAGTCACGTGGTGGGGAGGCAGCCACACTGGAATGTACTTGTGGAGAAATTTCCTTTTTAAGAACTGGACTACTACTCGTCAGGGCTTCAAGATTGGAAAGAAGAAGCAATGAAACTGAACAGTGAAGAGCGCAGGCTTTGAGATTAGAAACCCAATTTCAATCTTTGCTCTGCTCCTACTTAGCTGTGTGATATTGAGTGAATGGCTGGGCCACTCTGGGTCTAAGTTCCATCATTTCTAAATGCTGGATTAAAAACAAACAAACAAACAAACAAAAAAACCAGGCCAGGCGCAGTGGCTCAAGCCTGTAATCCCAGCACTCTGAGAGGCCAAGGCAGGCAGATCACGAGGTCAGGAGATCGAGACCATCCTGGCTAACATGGCAAAACCCCATCTCTACTAAAAATACAAAAAATTAGCTAGGCATAGTGGCACATGCCTGTAGTCCCTACTACTCGGGAAGCTAAGGCAGGAAAGTCACTTGAACCCGGGAGGCGGAGGTTGCAGTGAGCCAAGATCGTGCCACTGCACTCTAGCCTGGGCAACAGGGCAAGACTCTGTCTCAAAAAAATAAAAAGACAAAACAAAAAACCAGGTATATCACAGGATTGCTGTGAGGTTCCAGTAAGATAATGAGAGCAAAATGTGTAGCAAAGGTCCTGGTGCACACTAAAACCCACACAAAAAAAAAAAATGGTATGCATGATTGTCTGTCACTTCTCCATGTCAGTCTCTGCACTCAGCATTGAGGAGAGAAAGCTAAATAAGAAATGGCCGGCCGGGCATGGTGGCTCAAGCCTGTAATCCCAGCACTTTGGGAGGCCGAGGCGGGTGGATCACGAGGTCAAGAGATCGAGACCATCCTGGTCAACATGGTGAAACCCTGTCTCTACTAAAAATACAAAAAAATTAGCTGGGCATGGCGGCACGTGCCTGTAATCCCAGCTACTCAGGAGGCTGAGGCAGGAGAATTGCCTGAACCCAGGAGACGGAGGTTGCGGTGAGCCGAGATCGCGCCATTGCACTCCAGCCTGGGTAACAAGAGCGAAACTCCGTCTCAAAAAAAAAAAAAAAAAAAAAAAAAAAAAAAAAAAAAAAGAAATGGCCTTTGCATTTTGGGGAATTCAAAGTAGGTCAGTGACATGTAAACCAAAATGCAATAATATCCACAATGCTTAGCCAGAAAGAAAGACCGCAGACAGCTCTGTACGACCATGTAGTGCCATCCAACAAGCAACCTCACATGTGCAGGACAAGAAGGAAGATAATGGTCACATCTTCCTCTGGTGATCAGTAAAGGGTTCACAAAGGAAAAGATCATTTTAAAAGATCTTGAACAATGAATAGGAGGTTCCAGACAGACAAGATACATCCAAACTCTTTGCTAAAACAAGAGCTCAGTGGGGGCATTCCATGAGCAATTAGGATTCCATTTCAGGAAGCATCACACTGCTAAGTGTTTTGTTTCCTGTTCTTACAATTAACACCCTCAGCAGGTAGACAACCCATCTTCAGAAAGGGTCATGGGAGTCAGTGTTTTCTGTGGCTCACTGCCTGAGATTCCAAAGCTCTCAGAGATTCAGCTTACCTGGAGCCAAAAAGTGTTCGGAGCCAGTTGGGAATACAGGTAGCTGATGGTGCAAGGGTACCAGGCATGCTGGGAAATGCCTTCACTGAGATCTATCACCTTGGTTCGACACACCTGGAAAAAGATAGACCAAAAAAAAAAAAACCATGTTTTAGAGAGTATCAAAAGTTCAACTTAATTCAATTTTACAAACCTGTATTGTTCACCTATTTTGCTCTTGGCACCACAGGGAAAAACAGGGAGGAAAAGACCAGAATCTGGTTCAGAAGCTCACATTCTAATGTAGAAGAGGTAATCCTCGATGCTGTTAAGGATATAATAGATAACGTACTTTGATGGTAGAGATGACAGAGATATTCTCTAGAGACACATCATGGAGGAGTTGATACTTGAATTGGGCCTGGAAGAGCAGCACAGTGATAAGAGGAAGGGCATTGCAGGCAGAGGGAACAGAAGCCAGGCTCAGAGGAAAGCAGAAACCCAGAATGCTGAGGTTGTGATAAAATGCCTGTTACTACTAAGACTTAGGGACAGTGGCAGAAAAGGTGGGTGGAGGAATTAGATCTCATAGAATCTTGAATGTCAAGCAGACGATTTTAGAACAAATCTGTAAATTGTGCTCCGAGTGGTATTACAACAGAGAAAAGACTGTGAAAACATTAGCATTTGCTTCCCCATCAACAAAGAAAATCAGTTCCAAAACTTTAAACACACATACACACTCCTACACACACACACAAATTCATTCTCAATGACAGATAATACCAAATAGTACTAAAAGAAAGAGGAAACATATATAGACAAGCAGAATTCTTCAAACTGAGGAGTCTTGCATATTCAATGTCATTTCATTTATTGGTTCATTCATTCATTTGAATGGCATTTATTGAGTAACTATGGCTTGTCAAACACTCTGGGACAAAATGGTAGAATAGACATGCTGAAGAGCTTAGAGCAGGCAATTTGTGCAGACGTTAGTCAAGTAATTACAAATGCATATATAAACACAAACAGCGCAATAAGGGAATAGAAACAGCTGAGCAGTCCTCGAAATTCGTGAGACCTTTGGTAGAAGAGCATCCCAAATTGGTTCTTCTCCTCTGCTCTCTAATGTGGCTCCTCTCAAAACCTCCCTGTGAATTTGGGCCTGTCATTTCATATCTTCTCAGTGCATTCTACTCATCTGAAAAGTACGGCTGACCTGGAGAGCTCTGAGGCTCTCATATGCTATTGAAAAAAAGTGATATATCCTCAACAATATTAAACAAACATAAACACCTAAAACAAGCAAAAACAAAAGAAAAAATGGATATACAAGGATTAAGAATATCCATTTCTGCAGTAAGTATAGTAGGAAAAGATTGGAAATAGTCCCTATGTTCTCCTGTTGGAGGAGAAATGTATAAAATAGCAAATAGTCACATGATAGAATTCTATATGGCAAAGGAACAGTAAGAAAAATGAACTGTATTCATATACAAGGACAATATAAAAATATTTTAATGCTTGGCTCAGTATGGTCCCTAGCCAAATGAAAAGGAAGCCCTAATGGTGAGTTCATAGACATCAACATGGAGAGATCGCAAAGCATAAGACTGAGTGGAAAAAAAGAAACAAGGTACAAATGGTTAAGTACATTATGATGTCATTTATAAAAATAACACAAAGCAAAACTATATATTGCCCAGCGGTTCATGTGAATTAAAAATAGAGTAGAGAAGCATACATCAAATTCAGGGTGGTAGTTACCTCTGTGTATCAAGGAAGGGGAATGACACTGTGAGTCAGGATTTAAAAAAAGGGACCTCAGTCTTATTTGTGGTGTGTTATTTTTCTTATAGAAAGAGACATGAAGCAAATATGACAAAACGTATAGTTGTCAATTGCAAGTAGTGCATACACCTGTTATACATAGGTGTTTTTGATTTACATCATCTTATACAATTTTATAAATTTTTTAAAAAATCCAGATTGTTAGCTTAGAAAGCCACTGCAAATAGCTATAAAGCCATCAACATCAGTTTTCTTAACAACGTGTTCAGAACAGTGGGCTCCAATGAACTGGACCAGGTCTGAATTTTCTATGACAGCCCATCCTTCTTACTCCTGACATCATCTTGCTAAGAACTCCACCTATATTCTATGCAATATTCCATCCTGGAAACCGCATCTATGAATTTGTCCAAATTCAAATGACTCTCTTTCCATGACTTCTTGCAATAGTTCTGGCTTCGAGGAGCTCTTGGAAAATGCCAAATTTCAATTCTCTTTAAAATAATGAGCCATGAATCAAAGCATGTGGTTACATTGTGATTGGCAGTTGCAAGCATTAATACTTTTATTTTTAAATAAACCTGTTGTTGAGGTAATGTCATATTTATAGTAAAGTTGCAAAGATAATACAGATTATTTTATATACCCTTCACTCGGTCTCTCTTCCTGTTAACATCTTCATCAATTCATTCTGGAAACTTCCAACAGAGGAAGACAAGAAGCTTTGGAGAATTACATAATGTCACTCAGGAAGCTGTACAGTGGTGAGCTGGCTTTGGATTAAGGAAACCTGGTTCTAGTCCATGCTCACTCAAAATGTGGTATGCAATTGTGAACAAGTTATCTTGCCTTTTGGCCCTCAGTTTACCTTGCACATCTGAATGCTGGGTTAGACAACAAGTTTTCATGTTTTCCATGGATTCTTGGGATTCCAAGGAGAATTTGGCCAGGGGTTCAGATGTAGAGAAGATCTGCTTAGTTTCCACTTTACTATTTCAAACAGAGCATCTCCACTCACCTGTTTTACATATCAAGCTGCCTTTTTTAAAAAAATAATATTTCATTTAAGAAAAGAGTTTCATTGCTTTGAAAACATCAGTAAGTATTGAAATGTGTTAGCTGCCAAAGTTCCCCTCACCCCGGCCCTAGGAACTGATGGGTTCTGAGAGCACAATATTAATTATCTGAATATCACTGGTAACTTTTTGAGAATAAACATGCCATGAATTGACCATCCCATTGCTAGGAATTAAGGGATGGCTCCAGTTATTCAAATCTCCAGGGGCCTCACACTTAAATGTGCTGGAAGACCTTTTTAAGTTTATTTATTTTTCTCAAAAACAACTGGGACCGAGTTCAGGCAGATCTGCCAGTGGTTGCTGTTACACTTTACAACAGTGCAAGACTTTGCATAAACTATCTACGGAATTTGAAATCCAGGTCAGCAATTCAACATGTATCATTTTGGAATTCTTTCCCTTTGTGTTCTTAGCTGCCTGTCTCCCAGCAGAGCTTGGTGAAGGACATCTCTGAAGGCTGGATTGGCGGTCTTCTGTCTGCATCTGAAGCATTTATGGCTAGAGGAGTCTCTGACATAAACAAAGCCCTCTTATTGCTTAAATACTATTTCCTCTGAGCTTGTCAGTTCTATTAGCACTAGACAGGGTTTTAGAAGAACATACTATTATTTTCTTCTTCTGTTTTCCTATTTTGTTTTGTGTTTGTTTCAAGTTGGCTGCACTCCTGACCAAGGACAGTCAAAGCAGATCAGAGAAGAATGAACAAATCCAGCTGGACCTTTGCCCAAAGCCCTAGTCGATCTGAAAATCATCTATGTTCCTGCGGAAGTAGAGGGAGGCTAGAGAGGAAGAGAGAGGCAAATCCTCACAAGCCTCCTGCTTTCATAGACGTTGTGTGAATCTGCTCATTCGGCAGCCTAACTGGCTTGTGGCATGCCAGGCTTCAGAGAACTGAAAACAAAAGAGCCTTGCCCATCACACAATGTTGGTCACTAAGGATACAAGTATGAACCCCAAGGTGACTGATTTTATGGGGATGCTCTGTTTTCATCGACTTGTGTTTTGTTTTGTTTTTTTTTTCTACCTTCCAAAAAGGCAAATCTAACTCCACAAAGCCCTGCTGAGCAATGTGGACTTTACCAAACGTTTTGGAAGTAGACATGCAGGACAGTTCCATCACATGTTCCATGGGCCTCTTTAGCTCTCCCTACCATCACTCCAAAGCTCCGCTTCACTCATCATCTCCCCTCCTCCAGTTCCTTCAGTGACACTGGCTCCAGTGACATTCCCAATCTTTCTCAACCTTTTCCCCCTTCCCAACATGCACATTTCTTTTACCCCATGCAGAGCCATACTGTTCTCCCTCTATCCCCAACTCCTGCATCACAAATCCTTCCAGTGATGCCGAGGCTCTTCCCAGCCTTCCAGTCCAGGCGTCCCCAAACTTTTTACACAGGGGGCCAGTTCACTGTCCCTCAGACCACTGGAGGGCCGCCACATACTGTGCTCCTCTCACTGACCACCATTGAAAGAGGTGCCCCTTCCTGAAGTGCGGCGGGGGGCCAGATAAATGGCCTCAGGGGGCCGCATGCGGCCCACGGGCCGTAGTTTGGGGACGCCTGTTCCAGCCCAATAGATGAATACTTCCACTTCCCCCTATCTGCCACGCTGGTATGAACAAGGCCTGCTGCCTCCTTTCACATTGCTCCCTGTATTGTGGAACACATCAAGAGTGCTCTAGAAACACTGGTGGCCTCTAGGCTTTGGGTTTCCCTAGAGAAGCTAAAAAGGACATAAGGAGAGATTCCACGGAGCTGAAATCTGTTTTTCCCTTCTGCCCAGTCCCATGTTTATTGCAGTATTATTCATGACAGACAAGATGTGGCAACAACCTACATATCCATCAACAGAAGAATGGATAAAGAAAATGGAATATTATTTGGCCTTAAAAAAGGAAATTCGCCAATCTGCCATAAGAGGAATTGACTTTGAGAACATTATGCTAAGTTAAATAAGCCAGTCATGGAAAACAAATACTGCATTAGCTCATTTAATATGAAGTATCTAAAATAATCAAATTCATAGAACCAAAGATGAAATGAATGGTGGTTGCCAGGGGATGGCGGAAAGGAAAAAGGATCAGTTACTAATCAATAGGCATAAGGTTTCAGTTAAGCAGGACAAGTAAGTTCTAGAACTGTGCTGTAAAACATTGCTCCTATAGTGAACAATACTGTACCATAGACTTAAAAAATTGTTAAGAGAGTGGATCTCATGGTGTGCTCTTTCCACGATAAAAAATAAACAATTTTTACTTTTAAT